TGTCCTGTTTCTTCTTTTGTGTATGCTTTTAATGGCATCCACGTTGCGATTCTATTTTTCGTGAACTTTTCTTAATTCGTTGACTGATCCATTCTTTAAGAATTCGAGTCCTCTGTTTTCCTGAGTAAAGAGCCACTTGTGGTCTTTCTCAAAGAAAGATCAAAGTTGAATAAACTACCCGAAAGTCTTCCCTTGTCAAATTTTTCGAAAGAATTTCTTTTGCTTTAAATTTGCTGCCTACTCAAACGTTTATTCTTTTCAAACGATTTTACGTGTGTACCAAAAAAAATGCGACTGGAGTTGAAAGTGAAAATTGAACAACAAGTATGTTGAGACTACACGTATTTTTTGTTGAAAACATTCCATTTCGCTCTAAAACCCGTTTTCGTACCTCTTAATTCACTGGGACCAATGGTGTGGGTTTATGGTGTGGTTTATGCTGCGATGTACAGACGGTGGAAGATCCATTTCCTTTGTAGAGTTTAAGAAGTAAATTGACACTACCGTATATGAGGCTAACTATGAGTAAATTTATTCTACGGCAGAGATCGACTTGTGTCTTCTTTTAAAGAGGCGCCATAAAAATGAAAAACAAGTAGAAAAGTGAAAATGAGCGTTCATACCAAAGCATGTCCTACGTGATCCACAAACGGGCTGGCACGATCGAGCAGGTCTAATGTGGTCTCAACAGACACCAATGAAATTTACTGTTCTACCGTCTTCCCAAGTCACTCGGATGTCGGTTAACTAAGGGGATTTTAAGCGATCAGGGAGACAGCTAATGTTTGAGCTTATATCATCAATCGGACTGTATATTACGGTTAGAAGCAAAATTTGTTTCGTAATTCTGAAAAACTTATTATTTTATCCATTTTCATAAATAACTTAATCAATAGTTATCAAAATTTCATCAATCCGACAGCAATCAATGACAGCTAACCTGTTTCTACCACTGGAATACACTAATGAAGAAGGTCCGCAGTCCACAATGCGAGTCGAAAAATTACTTATTGAGGTAAAATTATGTACGGAATCATTTTAAAGTAGAATTCTTAGTAAGTAAGAGTGACGTGTGATTATTAAGCAGCAAAGTACTTTAATCTACTGTAATAAATGCTTCTACAACAGTAAATCTTGCTTTCTTATTCTGGCCATGTTTCATCGTTTTATTTTTCCATTTCATTTATCTTCTATTCACTTCAGTCACGCTACTGCTTTATTTCATACCTATTGATATGTGCATTCATTTGTATTCAATTTTTAATTTTATTTTATACGACCCGTGTTCACGTCTGCTGTGCGGTTCCCAGCACTTCTCACATTCGATTCGTTTCCTCGCATCCATTGTCCACGTGATCTTCAAACTTTACATATGGCTTCGATTGCTGCTTGAGGATTTTCATTTCATCTTGAATGTCGTAGAGTGCTGGTTGAGCAATTCTTGAGATCCTGAGATTCGGGATAAAGAGTTTCCAATTGGATTGCAGAGAGCGATTTTTCCCAGAAAAGTTCGGTACCAATTTACCAACCACCGAGAAATGAGAAGCTTGGTAGCCCCAGAGCGGAATATAACTAGCACCATGCTCGTGATGACTGACATCACTACCACTGTGTCATCCACCCCCTTATTTGTATTACAGTATGAAATTACTTCTCAAACTTTATGGGCGCTTTTACTACAGTTATATTTAAATATTCTAAATTGAAAACCAGTAGTTGTTAAGTAAATGGCGGTTTTTACAGAAAATTTGAGAATTGAATGCCGAATAAAGTGCTGGAGTGAAAGAAATGGTATGTGCCTAGGTGTATGAAAATTCTAACCCGTTACAAAACTGCTATGTTTTCTGTAATTTCTTTGAAAAACTGTAAAAAATTCCGAAATGGTCTGTAGAGGTCTTCATCCTATAGTTAGTGAAAAAATGGAAAAAATCAGCCCAAGAAGAGGCTAGCGAAGGCTAAGAAAAAAACGTCGATGGGCTGTTTCCATTTGAGATGTAAAGACATGATGCCTCATCTTGGAAAATAATTTTCCAAAAAAAGGCTAGACCCAATTCGCTTTGTTGGAACATTCAATGAGCTAAATATATATTTTTGCAAGGGTTACTCTAGAGTGGATTGGCGCTTGCCAGGTGCTAGCTTAATCTCATCGCTACTTCTTCGCATTGAAACGCTCAGTAAGTCGTTTCATAAAAGAAACCCTGATTCATCAAGTGAAATCTCAGTGAAACCGCCAGCGGATTATCAGCTCGTCGTCGTCGTCCGATAGTCTTTGTTCGAAAAACCAGCTGTTGCTTCACAGCGTCAAATCAGAGTAAAGGATAAAAAAGGATTAAGCTCTCGGCGTTGATCAATCTTTGAGGGATGCGCCATGTATTCGACTTCGTTGAGTGTCGTTGGAGGTGATTCAATGCATATCTGGCCTTTACAATGACTCGCGGTGGCCTACTGTTGTATTGAGCCAGTGCTGCTATCCTTCCAGACAAGTCTGATACCAATTTACCGACCTCGAAGGGATGGAAGGCTTGGTGAGCTATGGGCGCTGGGATCGATTCCACGTGTGTGTCGCACCTCCAACTAATGCGCCACACCTTCCAAATCAGAGTAGTATTACAAAACCTGTATACAGTTGCAACAGATTGATAACGCTAATGATTATGCTATGACTATCACCATATCAGTCATCGTGTCCAGTTCTACAGAGTTTCTTCAAGCGTTAACCGGTTGCAATTTGTATCTGTAAGAATCACATACTAGTTAGCCCTTCTTCATCTCTAAACTAGGTCACACTTGATACTTTTTCCTTAAAGAGAAAACGAAATTGGCTATGAAACCGCATGACTTTCGCAGGTATTCGTAATGTCAGAGATCTTAAGCAGGTAAATTGCAGGACTAGGTTATGTGGCGCAATTCCACGTGACAAATAGGCAGAAACCATAATCTGAAATAACCATGTGTACGTTCTCTTACGTTGGGCCAAAAGTAGATTCAAGGAATGGGCTTTCCAGTATATGGTTATTATTTGTATAGATTGCATTTTAGATGTTAAAACTAGGCTCCACTGGTTGGGACGTACAACCAAACTAATTCAGAATTGCTTTCAACAGACAATTCCTTCGCTTATTCCCAGAAAGATCGAGAGGGTGCTTGCATGTATCACCTCCTACCTTCGCATAGTTTGCCGGCAATCTAAATATGGGTATATTCCACCCATGTAGGGTGAAAATAAAGGATGCCTTACAAAGAACTGCGTTGCATTACATGTACCTCAAATCGGCCAAGTTTACACGCAGTTCTGGAGTTGTTAACCTTGGTCACTCAATACTTAACAGGCTTATAGGTAGCTCTTATAGGTTATTATTATTATTACAACCATCATTATTGGTTCATTATATTTTCGAGCGCAAGTATACATGCAATTTTCGTAGTTACTCTTGAAAGGATTATCGATTTATCATATATGCAAAATCAATAAGTATTTTTGTGTTGGATTCACCGGAAAAAAAATCACAGTCATTCAACATAACAGAAAAAATATGTAAATGGATCTTCGTTAGACTTATTAACCGAAAAAACTTTCTGAATATTTTCGTCATTACAAGAGCTAGTGTTCCTCTTTTTTTTACAACAGATTCTAAAAACGTCTCACATGAGTTCCGACTAGTATCAACCTTCTCTCCCATCGATTTTTTCGTTTACAGAGGTTTATTCAGCTAGATCGATTGACTGGAAGGCTTTATCCGGTAGTGATCAGAGATCTTCTGGTCCAACAGTTAAGCAGGCAGGCCTTGGCTGATCCGCAGCAGGGGTCAGCAACACACCAAGAGGTTGCCGGTCAGGGAACCGGTTCCGATAGCCTGGCCATTCGTGGATTTTCGCTTCGGCTGTCGGGATTCTTCTTTTATCGAATCGTATCCGTAAACGTTTTCAGTGATATCAGCTTCCTAGAGCGGTCTCCGATATTTAATAGCCGGCTGTCTGTCTCTATTATCAGCTCTTTTCACTAGGGATGTTTTATCACTACTTTTTCATTACCAAGAGTGTTTTCACACCTATCGCTACATGCCATTGCTTATTAGCTCATTATTATAATTGTTGAAATGAGCAGTGAAATTCACCAGCTTGATTTTGTCCAAAGTTTACCAATCTGAATCAACAATTGAACTTGCAAGGAAATAAACAACCGTTGTCTACTATTTGGAAAATTTCATCATGGTCTATTATTTTCCTTAAAAATACCGTTTCACTTATTTCATTAAAAGCCCATCGAGCTGGAAAACACAGGTATCGATTTTTGCAGAGAGCGCTACCGTATCCGCGCAATTAAGTCGTTACTGTGGAATTCTAGGAGGTTGTATTTGACGAATATTTTTGCATTTCGCTGGTAGAAAACCTTGATTCTGACTAAATATTCGAGTGGACGGAAAAGAAAACTATTCGATGATACGTGCTTTTTGATTTTTCAAACGATAGAGCTAAAGATTTATTTCTCCCAGGAGAACACAACAAGATCATTATTTTGACATTAATTCGTAAACTCATTATTGAAACGGAAACAGGTGCCTAAGACGGATTTTGCAGATTTGTTGGATATTTTGAGAAAAATATGAGTTTGTACAAAATGAGATGAAAAATAATGAGAACATCTTTGATGACGGCTTCCGTTGCTCGCTTGTCGAGTGAGAGTCTTGTGAAATTGATGATTTTGTGCTACAAAGATTACCTTTGTGGATTACGTCCACGTATTGATTTGTTGATTTGTTCTTACAGGCGTGGAAACACTCCAGACGAATTCCTACCGTTTCCGTGTTAGATTTCATGAAAAGACCAGCAATTTTATGATGAAATGATTACTTTTATGTCAACACATTCTCAGCTTTTTTTCGCTTTTCCATTCATTTCCCTACTCTTTCTTACCAAGCTAATTCTTGCACGTCACCAGTCGCTCTGTAGTTTTTCTTCCTCTTTCTTTCATCCTTAACCAATACTTTGCCTTTCCAAGGATGCCGCAACAACGAGCTGGATGGCTATACATATTTTCCTTGCCGTTTACGGTAAGTGGGAATTGTATTCAGTGAAAGCATCTACTTCTTAAATATACTTTTTTTCTTGAACAAAACTGTTTAAGCATTGCTGAACTAAATTCGTCCAACGGTTTTTTTTAGCTGTTTAATAAGATCCAAATTGTTGATGTTACATTCTAACACTGCATTAACACAAGTATAAATATAATTGAGCGTTCTTGCCTTTTCTCCATTCCACCTTCTTGTTTCATTTACATTTTGTTGTAGGTACTCTCATTTCTATTTATTTAACGCCTTCATTTGCATTTTATGTAGGCTCTGGCGCAAGTCAGTTATAACGTGCAACCTGTCGGAAGGCCGCCGATTCCGTCTGGCTCCCTTTCACGAGGATATCAGGTAATGCCCTTATCTGAGAACATCAATCAAAGGTAATAGCGATGGATTCAAACTGCTTTCTGTAATACTAACACCAATTTGGTTAGAGGTGACCTGCACCACACATGAGCTCGACTCCGCGCACCAGGTTCACCAAGCCAAGTCTGCCGCCAATTTGCGCCGGAGTAGGAAATTGACGCCAAAATTGTCTGGAAGGATGGTAGCATTGACTCGGGACATGGTAGGCTACTGCGTGTCATTGTATAGGCCAGATGTGCATTAAATCATTTCCAAATGGTGCTTGACGAAGTCTAATCCATGGCAAATCCCTCAGGGACCGATCAACTCCGAGAGCTCTATCCTTTACCTTTTTATTTATGTTGTTTGCCTGTATCTATTGCAAGTATACATGTCAATATATTAGCGGTTTAAACCATGTATGGCGCTAGGATGTCTTTTCACAATGTTATTTCGATATTGTAAATTTTACCTTTTACCTTATATATATATATATTTATATACATATATATAAAGTAAGGATAGAGGTCTCGGCGTTGATCAATCTCTTAGGGATCCGCTATGCGTTCGACACCATTAAACAACGTTTGGAGGTGATTGAATGCATATCTGGCTATTACAATGACTCGCAGTGGCCTACCGATGTGTCAAGCCACTGGTGCTAACCCCCAGACAAGTCTGGTATCAAATTGCCGATCCCGGTGGGATGGAGGGCTTGTTGAGCCTCGGGCGCGGAGATCGATCCCGTGTTTATTGCAGGGCGCTTTTGACCATTGTGCCACACTTGCCCTCTATATCTATATATCTATATACATATATATATACATATACAAGCACATATATGCATATATATAGCCATAAGTATTTGCGCTTTACATTTTTACGGCACGTAAAAAAGTATGACTCAAATTCGAAGCGAGGAAAGAGTAAAAAAAATCGTATCTTGTGTTCACTATGTTGATTTTTAAGTACTTTTAAGTTCGGCAAAATTCTGCAGTTGGATGTCTAGTTTTAAAGTTTTTTTATTATGGTGTTTTTTTTCAGTGAAAAAAAGTTGAATCAAGTTTTTAATCAAGGACAAGGGATGGGTGCTCGACGTCAGTCGTTTCCTGAAAAGTGCGCCATGCATTCGATTCCATTCGAAGCGTTGTAGAAGTGACTGAATGCCTATTTGTCCCATACAATAAATGATTCGTTGTATCGTTCTTATAAAACTTTAATAGTATTCTTCCAACATCTGGACGATGAGGGGTCGATATGCCCCAGGGTGCGAGAACTAACCAAAGGCTTTGTGGGTTTGTCAGAGCACCTCTAACCACTCTGTTACACGCGCCCTTTAAACTGCGCATTACATAAAATATTTGTTACAATTTACATCATGAAAACCGGTTGAAAAGCACAAAGTCGTTAAATCTAGCACTCCATTTCTTGCTGTAAATAGAATTATTAGTATACTCTTCAATCAGTTCTTAGAAAATGGAAAAATTACCATTTTCAGAAGTGCTATAAAGCTGAGATGGCAAAAATTAGAATAATATATGAGGCAATAATAGGATGTTTTCAGCCACCACCACAACTGATGCTACTTGAGCCGCCTAGGAGTCGATTCAATTCATATCAACCTCAGGTCTACGAAGAGGCGTTCAGGTATTGAATGGATCACTCCAGATACTTGTGAATGAAAGAAATCGTAAAAAAAAAGTTCAATGTTTGACCGTTTATTTATTGACTCTTTAATGATAGGGTACTATTTGAAATACAACCACAATGATGCTGAGATATTCGCAAAACTCGGAACTCCATGTGAGCTTCGCACTGGCAATTACGCTTTCCTGGAGCTCACGTGGTATCCAGTGCATCAACCGAAGCCCTGGATTTGCCTTCCTCTCAACCCATTTTTTGCTTCGATGGTGCTATCAGCAATCACTGGCCACCGGGAGTGATCTGGTAGGCACAATCGAGATTGAACGCAGTTAAGCTGAAACTGTAGCTAAAATCACAAAGTTTAAACACTTATTTATTCTCTATTACCCATAGAAAAAGCTTGTTATTAGTTCTTAAATCGAATGTGCAATAAATAGATAAATTAAAAAATTCACTGATGCTTCGGGATTTCAAGGAGATAAAAAACATCCTTATCACTTGGTTTCATACTTATACTAACGTTCCTCACTGTTTCTTCCCACCGTACCACGTCATTTTTCTCTGATCGGGAATGTTTCCCACTTTTAGGAGAAGCCTTTAGACAGCCGCGCCCTTGGCGCAAAGGGATCGTTACTACAGGCAGTGGCTGACGTTGATAGATCAGAAGAAGCCCATGCGATGAGCTTCGTGAGGCCGAGAAACAATTGATACAGCTTCAGCGCTCCTCGTCTTCCGGTCAGACTCATTCACAGCTTGACTTGTCCACTCTGGAATATGAACTCTTCTGTCTGTTTCCCACAATTTGTTACAGAGAAAACTTTAGCTTCAGCACGTCAGTAAACGTTAGAGAGGAAAAACTGACGGAGAAATAGCGAACACAAAAATACTTCTCGGCTAATTACATTGGAAATGCCACATGTAGGATTTCTGAAGTGTTTTCAGGCACGAGTTTTTCTGTTCTCCTACAAGCTTAACAACAAATTGAGGACATGATATGTGACGAGGCTATTTTTGGATAGAGGACTGAGGAAAATTACTAACCAAATAAATGTAGGAGAAAGTAAATCCGGCGTGATGTGCATATTCGTATTCTTATAATCGTCAGTCACACAATTTTCCAAAGTAGACGAAAAATGGTGATATAATGGAGGTCCATCGCTTATGTATTGAAGGATAATGGATAACACGTTCGGCGTTGATTACCTTTACAAGGGGATGCGCCATGCATTCAAGTCCGCTCGTAGTATCGTGCAGGTGACTGGATGCAAATCTGGATTATGTATTGCAGGACATCTCTGAACACTATGCTGTAAGCACCCTCGTTAATGCATTAAGAGTGAGAACTAAAAAAACTCAAGATGGGAGGGAGAAGTTGGTACTGTTTTATATGGAATGTTATGTAAAGTCTATGTCAAGTTGATATGAGCGCGGAGGTGCCAGACGAGATTCAAATCGTCTAAATGATTTAGACGGAGGTGGTGAATACTTCTCAGACTAATCTAAGCTTATCTGATCGAAGCCGGAACTGGCCCTTTCTGTAAGAGTTGGTAGTACTCATACTGAGTAATGTGAGCCGTCTATAGGCCATTTTATATACTTATTCAGCTCGCTGTATCACTATTAACGTCGTCATTCTCTTCCGATAATTGCCAAACCGTCATTTTATTCCCAAGTCCGACTTTCTATTAACCTCGGCATTGATTGAATATATCTTTCTACTTCTGTTCAGGAAACACGAGCTATTTTATTTCTTTATTTACGCACAAGCTGACGTTTCGGTGGATTTCGCCTTCCTCAGAGCCTGGAAGAGTCAAGTTGGCAGCAATCCATTCGGCCAAACACCTCCATAACCAAACAGAGAAAACGCTAAACCAAGATTTCAATCACACTTAGCATAGCTCTGCACACTCACCGATTTCTATGAGTCTTCCACTGAGTACGTCGCTTGAAGACCGACCGCACCGAATTCACATGGAAGCGTTTTTTTTGACATTACGCACCTCGTCATTTTATTGTTTTCATATTTGCGATATGATCCAGAAATGAGCATAACGATCCACTCTCATTCACAAATATCTCAAGGAAGGATAGAGGTTGACCTCCGTTAGTAATAAACCTCTCGATCTATAACAAATTTATCATCCATCATTGATATCTCCATATCATGCATAATTCCTCCAGGATCAGATGCAAACGTCCTATGACTATGCGACTCTTAAAGAACTCATAACGTCTAAAAAATCTTGTTACGAACTCGAGAATTAATTTGGACTTCGATGTTGCATAGGCTTCTGCCAGTAAAGATAGCGGCAGGGAGAACATAATTCGATCTGAAGAGTAATCTTTTCTGGATTTTTGTCTTTTTGGACCTCCCTATTGTACAGCTCTCTCCAGTCAAAACTGTTCAGCACCTAATGAACAAATTAAGAAATGTTCTTTAATCCGCGTTAATAGCTGTATGACTGGCTATTCCAATTAACCTCTAAATGTAGAAGACCATGTTTATTGACAATGTATTCACGTCCATAGACATTACAGCACTCAAAAACGATAGAAAACGATAGTCCTCAATCATTTGCTGTAGGACTAGCAGAAGATGGCAATTTACATAATCATTGGTGAAAACGAGACACTCTCACTCAATTGCTAGAATCAGGCTATATATTCGGAGGAATTTTCATCTAATGTGGTCCCAAACTCTTAACCTCTCTAGGGTCCATCCAGCCAAATCACTATATTACATCACAAAGTTGAAATAATACTGAGATCGCTGTCAGCTTGTGTTTTATTGTATTCGATGAGAATTTCCTGCTAAGCCAACTAAATTGTGGAGTCAGTCTGCATCCAGACCACCAGTCTAGATAGTCGCTGATTTCTATGGATCGAAGGGAGCTCATCCTTTTGAGAAAGAATATTTTCCCAATGGGCGTTGTTGTTGGTACGTATTTGCTCCTGGCTAGAGTTTTGTTTTCGATGTATCGCTTCAAAAAAGCAGTGAAAGCAGAATGGCACTGGTTTAGAAGTGTTTACTATTTGTTAGGAGAAATACCGACTAAATCAAATAAAGGATAATATTCAGTGTTTTTACTAGTAGTACTTGATCTCCAATTTCTTTTCGTTATACGTGGAAAAGATTTTGCCTATTTTGTTGCCCTTCGTTTCCTTTAAGAAAATGACTATTACAGAAATAATTACGAGAGGTATCAAAATGCTCCGCACATAAATTCGCGATTTGAGGTAAGATTTTATGGAATGCTTCAGATTTTAATGTTGGGCTACTGTTAAAGCACAATTATTTTTATTTCTATTGGCATCATATCATTCAGGACTTTTGATTCTAGGAGTCATCGCGGCCGAATCAACGACGAAAGCAGGTAAGTGCTGACTGCTGACCATTTACGCAGAAATGCTTGCAATGTTTGTTCCATTACTTCATCATTTATATGCAGAAATCTTAAATAAAACTTTTCTATGGTTTTACAAACTTGAAACTATTTCTCTACCCGCTATTACTAGAATGAGAATGGAAAACTCCCCCACTCTCATTTAACGGCGTGATATGCGGGCCTTCTTCCTAGTTGGCGATTAATCACAATCGTCGAGACGCTGTCACATAGGCACAGTCAACGTCATTCATCTGAGATTAGCAACCTTGTTGGAAATTGGGTCTACTACTGACGAAAGGTACGGATTGTGTAGTGGTAGTGTTCCCAATCATCTTGAACACTGGTAATAGTTCGGTTCCACTGCGGGTCCACTAAGCCTCTCATACCTCTGACGCCTAGAAATTGGAATCAGATTTGTCTAAGAACAGATTACGTCCTCCAATCCACGTGGGAACGCTGTAGAGCGCCTATTTTACACTCCAAGGAGTTACGATTTGACCGGCATTTAACGAAGTTCATGACCAAAAGAAAACCCGCATGCAGCAAGCGAAGGTTCTACATGCAAAAACTTCGAAGACCTTCGCGGATGATGGATGTGAGAAACGAATCGAATGCAAAAAATGCTGTGATCCGCACAGTAGATTTGAAAGACGCATCATGTGAAAAAAAACTGGCTGAATCCTGAATATTACTGGTGTTGAGTAGGGAAAAAAAACTCGAATTCGGGAAAAATACAGCCAATGACGGTATCTGACTGGCCAGTGACTTCATGAGAGCATTTGATTGGAAGTTGAGTGCCTTATACATTGCATAACGTTCCTTTTGGAAATAGAAAAAAACAAAATTAAAAGCTGACATCATCTAGTTCTGAAGTACGGCGAGAATCACCTGTGCTGTCAGTCAGTGCTGGAACAGAGAAGCGGACACGATATCGGCGTCTCTGTCCTAATGTGGGCGGGACAAATACAGTGTTGCGGCGCGTTATAATTGCCTGTGCAACTTCAGTTACTTTTACTAACATATTTTTAAATTTCTCCAACGACTTCATCTTATTTTCACAAAATTCCACATGTAGATTCTGCTTGACATTGCACTATATTTAATATTTTTTCACATCTTTTAAAATATTTTTCGCTTTTTTTTTAACTTTTTTTCGACTTTTCAAGACTTTCCCGGATCTCAGATTGCTTCACACCATGAGATCCGACCACCATCAGTTCAACCTCAGCCAAATGACTTTCCTCGATTTACAGCTCAGGTTTCGTTTTCAACCAATACCTGATTTTTCTTTATTTAATCGATAATGAATTTCACTCCGAAGTTGTATTCTGTAATTCTTTTTCGTTCCCAAGAGAGGCTTTCAGACAACATAAGGCTCTGTTCTATTTTTATACTACAGTAATCTTTTGAAAGACAACGAGAGAAGAAAATGTTATCAACGCTTGAGATGTTTGGAGCTATGCTGATTTTCGCAAACATTTACGTAGGTCGAATATTCGGCCGTTTCATCGAATATCGTTTAAAAGATGGCGACGTTCGATCGTGTATGCAGATGTAAAAAATGTTGTAAACAGAGCTGACTCTTTTTGAATACTCAACGGAATGGTAGACAAAAAGTTAATCCTGCGCTAAAATTGATTTTTTTGACGGATTGGGAGTTATGGAACGCTAGTCATAATTTTTTTTTCAAACCCAAACAAATAGTTCTCCTTTTGTTCTTCACAGCCTCAGAGCCACCATTTGATCACCTAGACCTCTTTCAGAATCCTCCGGATGTGCTGAACAACATTATTGTACATATTTACTTGAACGCGAAAGACAGACACAGCCACACTGTGGCCACATCGCCACCGATTAAAGGTGTCTTCGGCATCGGTACTGCACATGGGTACGGTATCTCAGTAGAGCACCGTATGTGCACATTCATAGAGGGCATAGGAATCAATTTAAATCCTTTAGATTATGAAGTGGATCGCCAAAGTTTAATAAGGGTTTTCTGTCTACTTTTCAAATAATTTCTGCGTTCATTTCAGTGGTCTCGGAACGCATACCGATCCAATAGTAATCACTAAAGATTTTGATAGAGACACCCTGGAATTTATTGAAGAGGATAAGGCGAAGGTGAGATAAATAAAAACAAGTGCTTTATCGCTGGAAGTAGAAACTAGTGATGATAGGTGAGAGTGGTAGTGTTAATTATTTATATCGGTGACTTTAACAAATGAGGATGCTAACTCACTCATGCCATACAGCCATTAAAAACTGAGGCAAGCACAGCGCAGTGATTACAGTTTTTTGCAAGACATACGTTATCGTTTTTTCGATGCCAGGCTTCAAGTAGGCTGAGCCCTTCCATTTTTAGAAAGTCGACAGATTGTACCAGACTTGGTGGAGAGGACAACACGCTGATTTGATACAATGCTAGGCTCACGCAAGTCATTGTATAGGCCAAATATGCATCCAGTCACTTTTATGACGTTTAACGGTGCTGAAAGAATTCCCAGAGTTGTTCTACGCCGGATCTATTCTTCTGTATCTCCTCATTCTCCTCTGTTGACCACTGTGGCGTAAAAATATCGCTCGGTTGCTTCCCTCTCTTCGAAAATTGAACAGCATCACGAATATTTTTTATTGGACGTTTCGGTAAAGAATTTGAATGCTTCCGTTACCATCCAACCAGCACTTTTTTGTCGCGCGCTTGAGATCACCTAGAATTTTAATGGTTCTTCATAGCGCTTTCTGTTTGCCTTCACATCGGTCCCATTTTATTTCCAATGCCTTCGCATATCCGGCACCATCCATGATCATTAAAGATACGAACTTGGAAAGCACTCACTCACTCTCATGCGGAATGCTTCTAGATATTTTTGCAGCACGTTCAATAGCAGTGAGTGCATCATTTTGTGGGCCAGATTTCTGATGTGGCTCCACAAAAACGTGTCTAATGAGGCAACGAAAACTGCGGAAGCGATACAATAGTCGCAGAGTCAGTCGTTCTATGGCCTCCTCACTATGTAATCGATGCACCTCTCCACAAGTGGATTCTTTCTGATCAGCTGAAGTTTTAAGTTGTTATTGAGGTTAACTTTCCCACACAAATGCACTGTACCCGTTGGAAATGCTCGATGAAACACTCGAAAGATTGTTCAAAATGAATGGAGCACTAAGAAATGGTCTGCTTTGTAGGATCATAATCTTCATAAAGTACTCGTCATCTCTAACATTACAAAAAAGTGAATCCTCCAATGTCAGAGGATCGAAGCTCTATGCATGTTGTAATGCTGAGATGTTTGCAAAACTCCGGACCGCAAGTGTCTGCGGTGGGGTACGAACGCGCTATTATCCTTTCCGGGGAGTAACGCGTTCACCACCACACCATGCTGGTCCTTCGTTTCGCCTGTCTCTCGGCTAATTCTCTATACATGTTTTTCCGGGCTATTCCAAAGCGGAGGCACATTCATTTCTGCGACACGACCTCGAGCCATTCTTCTTCGTTATTCGACTGTAAGAACCTCTCAGAACCGACTTTCTTTTAATCTCGTCATTGGTCAACAACTGTTCTTGATGAGCAAACGCGATTATTATATCATTCATTAATACACAATGGCTAACCTTTGAGCGGTTTCATCTTCTTAAAAGCCTGGAAAGATCAAATTGGCACGAAATCTACTTAGTTAAACACTTTCCTAACCTGAGCAAATAGAACTTAACATATAAACTTTAATTCGCATCAGCTTATTGCCAAGACTCACCGATCTTCGTATTTTTGTTGAGCAAACGCGAGGTGTTATTATTCTTTATTCACGAATAAGCTGACGTTTCGGCGGATTTCGCCCTCCTCAGAACCTGGAAAGGTCAAGTTGATAGCAATCTATTCGGCCAGACACCTCCATAACCAAACTCACCGATCTGTTGTTCGTAAACCTTCCAATTATCTGGTGGAGTGAAGCTGCACTGTCTTACATGGATGAGAGAAGTGCCTGGATCAGGTTAAACTTATTAATTTTAGCATATTTTCGAGCAAACTCTCAAAATCCTTATTCATTATCGCAAGAGAAGGTTTAGTTCCAACCCATGCGTTTGAGAACTAATAATATTAAAATCCACTGGACTGCTAATTACTGATAGAGGTGTGTGGTTTGGTAATTCCTCGTCGGTCAGAAGTTATGATAACGGGAAAACATCTTGAAGACATTGGAAAAGAATTCAAAAGTCAATAACGAAAGTTGAGCACGGAATGGGTCAAAGTGGTGGGCGTGGCAGGTCTAGAATCATCAGCTATTTCTTGGATTAAAGTAGAATTACTAGCGCACCCAGTCTTGTAGTTACTTTTTAGGAAACAACTTAGAATCCACTGATCTTACGTGTACCAATCCATCATTATTCGCGGAAAGGCTCATCATCAGTTGGGTATACGGGCCATGGAGAGAATAATTTCGTTTTTAAACCTATTTCTTAGCCTGTGCTGAAATGCCTTCCAGTACATCTCACGAATACCGAAATGTTCTTGGATCGCCTACATAACGGGTGTTCTAACAGTACATACGGCATGGAGTGCATCGAAGTCGTCGTCCTTTAACTAACGTTTCGGGTAATTTCACAATGCAAGCCATCTGCGAGCTCCTTATGCAACACAAAGGGGTAATAAACCCAAAACGGCCTTGTGAAAAACATGTTTCGAACAGCCACCAGTGTGGACGCAGGAAAAGACGGAAGAATCCTTGGAATTATCGTAGCAAATAACCATTTCGGATAGCTACGGAACTATGGCTCCTCGATCGGGATACGTGTAGAGGAAAGTCCACTTCCGCAAACAATATGTCCAGCGCGGATAAGGCTCCATTTATCCTGCCGTTTATTTCCAACGAAATAAGCACGGCTATAAAACGTTGCTTATGAAGGGCAGTTTAGAGAATTCGGTAGCAGTGATTGAAATAGCTCCGAATCAGACGCTGGCTTAGTTGGCAATCTCTGTATGACTGTTTATGTAAAGAGAAAAATTCTATAATACGCACTAAAGGCAGAGACGGTGGTTGCACTATACGGGTACGGTTTATGTGCTCTCCTGTAAAGCGTATGAGGGCGAATGCGTTGTCGAAACGGGTAGAACACTCCACGTCTACATAGAAGAACACCTACTCCGTAAATTCGAAATTGAACCAAATGTCCCAATAGGCGCGCGAAGGACACAGACATAACGGAGATTTTAAAGGAATTCAAAACAATATTGCGTAGAACTTTTGAAACGCCTTGGATAGATTCCAAAAATCCAAAAATGAACCAAAGAAGGGTGCCTTGTGATTACGCGCGACCTCGAGCTATAGCCTGGGCTGAATTTTTTATCTGAGACGCGCATACTTCTCGCCCATGTGGTGCTCTGTGGGGCTGGTCTCTACCAAATAACTGGAAGACTTGCAAAGAACAAGGCGGTGAGTGTTCAAAAGAGGCTGTTTATTATGCTAATGAAAGTTTATGTATTAACCTTTATCTGCTGAAGTTATCAAAGTGTTTTGGGTAAGTAGGTTAGTAGCACGTCGATTTGACCTTTTCAAGCTCTGAAGAAAGCGGATCCACCCAAACGCCAGTTATTGTGTTTTAATAAATGCTGTACTAACCACTCGTGTCTGCTCATCAGGAAAACGGGGAATCGAAGGATTTGCATCCAAGAAAGCAAAGCACAGTGGCCAGAAATTGCATTTACATTCGCTAACGTGTACTTGACTGTGATTTCGTGAGTACGGAACCTATATATCAGTTCGATGTAACAAACACTGTAATCTCATGTGCTTTGGGAAAAATGAAGTCCCTCTTGGTCTCCATCTAACTTTGCCTCTGTTACCAGCAAAACAGCCACGTAGCCGCACCCTTAGCCTAGTCAACATTCGAGGTACATTCGAGGTGGATGAATTTCCGCAGACGTAATTAATTCCAGCACATGGTAGAAGAAGGTCCAGCTAATATTGTGGAGGTGAAAGCAACGGTATCGTCACCGGATCGGAAAATCGAAAATACTGTAAACAAAGCTGTCAGCACCGAGCTGGAGAGAGCTATTCCCGCAGTGATGAACAGGTACGTAACTGTTTCTTCATAACACATCACACAGCCAGAGGGAGCTTTGCCATAGACATCGTGGATTTTTTGGGTTCGCTCACAGTTTCCGTGAAGCTTATTTGTTGAAATACGCCACGACTCTGATGTGCTTCCCAAGCAGTAAATTGTTGGCTATTGCGATCAAGAACGTGAAGCATGCATATGCGCAGGAATACCTACATATATTTGTCGTTGTAGTCGCAGCTCTATCGGCTAGTTCACTGAAAAATGCTTAGGCTTGAAAGCTTTGCAGGCATATACATATAAGCCATGAGAAAATAGTGAAGCACGTACTTGGAGCTAATTCCAAACAGCAAGCGTTGACAATGACGATGAGAAATGATGTCTTTTGAAGCAGACTGATTTAGGGAGACAAGGAATAAGCAGCATGCTACGTAGACGAAATTTTGAAACCAATCGTTATTTAACCTCGGCAGTAAAATAGTCAACATGTTTTTAAATTGTTGAGCTTACATGAGGTTAATAACAATGTTTCTTTCGGCTAACGTTTTGACGTCTTTGTCTTCACCAGAGCCGATGAGCCGAGTAGATGGTACACAGTTGTTCTACGCCTCGACGTGGGGTCTTCGTAATCGCACTGAGACGGATCTTCTCGTCAGGAACACCGCACGAATGAGGCATGCTCACCTGGTAGTGCTCATCTCTTTTATGCAAGGCGGTTGTTGTTTATACGACTATCCGTTGATAATACTTTGTTTTTCAACGGACAATTCAGCCCACGTTTTCATCAGAAAGCCTAGCTAAGAGTAAAGCAATACCAGAATCCACCACCGTCCTGGTATCAAAATCGCATGTTGGCAAATTTCCCTCTGATCCACAAGAGCTGCGATTGCCTGTGGTAGTGACGACCTGGGGCAAAGTTTGCCCAAGCTGACCTCGGGATTCCAGGGAACCACAATAGCTTAGCCAGTAAATCTTAAAAAAATGAAGATTGTGCTGGGCCGGTATAACCAATGAGGACAGGCCGTTCAAGTATCAAGTATCAAGTAAGTCATTCATCCGGAAGCAGTTGGTATTATGACAGTTGGCTTGAAAATTGTTTTGCTATTCGCTTTGTGATAGCTGACATATTACCGACTGTTGCAGGGTAAATTGTCCGTTGAAAAACAAACTATTATCAACCGATAGTCGCATCAAGAACAACTGACCTGTATAAAAGAACACTGGGTGAGCATGCCTCATTCGTGCAGTGTTCCACTGAAAGGAAGGTCCGTCTCGGTGCGACTACGAAAACAACGTTAAATATCTCTATCAACCTCGTGTAACCTCAACAATTTAAAAACATATGTAGGCACAGTTCAACCAAGAGAAGTGGCTTAGGAGTCAAATATAGGATGTTTGAAAAGTACCTCCCTGCCTTGAAATTTCCATAAGTTATTTATTAACTGCAATTTTTACGGAAAACGGATATTAGGAGAAGCCTTATAGCATGGTGATCTATTTAAAATTCGAGATGGGCACCAGCATTCGCGGTTACATTCTCAGGCCGCTCGAATGCTGATTTCAGAAGGAGCACGTGTTAGATGGAAGACGCAACTTTCGCGTTCGTTTTCAAAGTTCTTCCGAAGTCGTCATTTTGGTGTTTCCAGGTAAGGCCACAACACCGAGCATGGAACGCTTGACACGAATGCGGCTTCCCAAAACGTCGTTTAAACTCTTTGCTGTGCTCATCTTCCATCCAGTAAAGAGAGAGCTCACTCTTCCTTTCTGTTCGTCGAATTAGTTTTTTTTGGGGGATTGGATTTCACATTTCTTGAACAAGTTGTACTCGCTTTGGATGAGTGTGATTGAACCAGCGACAGATCCGCGGATTTTGCATGGCAATTTTTGATCTTCTTTGCGTCAACTTGAGCATGTCTTAATTTGATTGTCTTCCACCCTCCTGGGATTTGAGCGACAGACCTCCAAACTTCGTAACGAGCAGTTAGCTGGGTGCACTTTTGGAGGATAGAATATTTTATCCATGTTTGAAGAGTTCCCAAATTTCAAGCAAAATCATGGCTCTGAAAAAAGTAACGACGTAGTTTTAATCCTAATGCACGAAGTAGTAGGCACAAAAAAAAAGTAAGAAAAATATTGTAATATGCATGCAAGTCATAACCATTTTGAAGTAGAGAATTACTCTTCAATTACCCTGCATATCGTTAATGGAGCAGGCGCTTCGTTCGATCTATCTGGTGGCACGCTACTTAACCCCCAACTTCCAATTCAGAACCTTTTACGTAAGAATTTTCCTTAGTTTAATATGATATATTTCAGATTACAAGGGTCGATGTCAACAATGGACAGTGAGTTGAGGAAGGAGCTGGAACAGGCGTTAGTGGAAGAACTTGCAAAGAACCTTGGTAACACCATTGACCAGATGGAAACGAAAATCAGCGATGAAGATTTAGGAAGGTTAATAGGTAGGATTTACATACACGTTAAAAACCAAATCTGCTAAATTATTGGAGAAGTTTTAAGTGAATAAATTCTTAGCTCGGAGCGTAAATGACACTTCGGATCTAAAGCGGTGAAAAATAGAAAAGTCTATGTCTGTGAAAGTATCAGTGGAAGTGGAAAACATCTTAAATGATCACCGATATGAAATCAAAATAGAAAAAAGTAAGGGAAAAAACTAAAATAAAGAAGAAGGCATCTTTGAGTTCCAAAAGAAGATTTGTGGAAACCAGCACGGGTTATCTTCCAGGCTTCGGAAGAGCTGTCATCTCTGGTATTCATTGATGATGCTAGTCATCCAGGTCCAATAATTTTCTGCCTTTAATATTTCCACACTTTTTTTAAACAACATTATCATGTTACGATTTCAACGGTGCTGAGATGCTTGCAAAACTTAGACCCCGCGCCAGATCGAACCACGATTTTCCTTTCCGGGGACTCGCGCGTTACACACTGCGTCACGGAGGCCTTTCATCTGCGTTTCTCTCAGCTAGTTTTCTACCACACGCTGCCATTAGCAATCAATCGACAACGGGATTGATCTGGGGAGCCCGCTTCGACATTGAACTCAGTTAAGCTGAGGCTGTAGTCGAAATCATAATGTTAACTTCTTATTTTCTCATGTTAGTTTAACAATCTAAGAAGGTATTGATCATTTATATTTAACTTTGATATGGGAAATTAACTGCTTTAGTTTACTGTAAACTTAGACGAGGAAATGGTGTTCTTACAAATCCTTGTGGAAGACAGTTCGGGCCTTTTATGTTCCTCAGAGCGTCGCCGGAGTTAAATAAGTTTTGCTAAATTCTCAGAAACTGTATTAAAATCTTTGAGTCATGTCACGATATCCAACAGTTGTCAAGCCTCTTTATGTTTGATATTGTTATAAACACCATATAATATGAGAAGTTCTTTACATTTTTAGAAGACGGTCTCAGTGAGATCGACAAGGAGTTTACTACGATGGTATCGGCTCAACCATCAGCCATCGCAAGCACCACAGTTTCCACAACTACGACGACGACGGAGAGCACCACACATCCGAAAACTAGACCGCCTTCAACGACCACGAGACGAACAACGGTGGCTGACGTAGACGAATTTCTTAGCGAATCGCCATTTGAGAAGGCATGGAATTTAGAACTAATTTAATTTCAACCTCTTGATGGGACTCAGAAAACAAGTGACTTTTTGCAGACCCCACCTACTTTGCCAACAAAGACAACGTTCACACCGAGAACTTCGACTCTCCGAACATCACAGGTCGTCACAACTACAACAGCTACTACTTCGACAGCAACTACCTCAGCTCGACCAAAGACACGACAATGGTGGGAAACGTCAACTCGGACGATTGCAGAAGCAACACCGACCTTTGCATCTCAATCGATTACCATCCCCACAACTACTACTACGACTCCAACAAGAAGTCATCCAATTTGGACGGCTCGTAGAACATCAATAACTCGTACAGAACCGACAACAACTGCTACACAGCCAACGACGAGATTCTCTAGTGCAACGCAGGCAACTGGTATTAGTCAGAACACAACTGCATGGACCACCCATCGACAAACCACTCCCACTACATCCACCAGCACTTCATTAGCAACTCGTAAAACCTGGGTAACTCGTGAAACAACAACTTCTGCACTTTCTACAGCCACCCATACTCGTCCAACCACATCTGCTACAAGTTTCCTCACCACTCAGGCATACTTCACTACTGCATCTTCATTGGATCGTTGGAAAACGATGAATCACGTGCTTGAACACCCTGCAGATCCTCAAGTGGTACGAAATTTTGAACAATAATTGAAGAAATTCTATAATTTATAGGTAACTTATATAAAAAACGCTAGGTCCACGAATAACCTGACATTTTCTAGATGATTACTGATATTGGGGCAGTTCCAGGCGAAGAAACTGAACGTGAGTTTAAATCTTAGCTTTACGATTATTTTAACTAGCGTCTTTAGTAAGAATTTTATTGAGAAAAGAAGATTTGAGAGGTGGTATGGAGTGAGAAGAAAACCTTGGGTCTTTCAATAATAAGAAGATATCTTAAAGCAGATCGAATTAAGCTCTAAACTTGGAAGAGAAACTGGAGAAATTCGCCTAAGGACAGGCTTCAGCAAGAACGCGCTAAGGAATGTAGCCCCAGCGTAGGAGGAACCATTGCTGTGTGCACCGTACTTGCTTTGAGATTCATCATCTTTGGCTTTACAGTGACAATAGTGATTGTTTCAGTGCTTAAAAATGTTCTTTTGCACACATTTCTCTGTTTTTTTTTTATTAAATCCTTCTTCCGAAATAACCGATTTTCTACCAAAGACTTACTTTTAGATGTCACCTTAGAACCAGCTCAAACAATTACGACGGCAAGGCCGCCACTTAAAGCAGAAAAACCGACAAGATGGCGTGGTTCAGTTGAAGAGACGTCGATCATTGAAACCGATCTGGAGCCGAACATTGTCACGTCACGTCCGATAAGTATAATTAACCTGGAAGGTGGTTACGTAAAATTTTTTACATGAAGTCTGCTAGGAAGAATGCTCCACAGAGAGTGGAAATCGAACGGGTCAAGGTTGAATGCTGGTTTAAAATGCTTTAAAGTCGATATATGCATTTTTCATAGTTAAAGACCTAAGGAATCGATGTAAAGCCAATGCATGCATTTTTCTTTGCTAAAGACCTAGAAAACTTTTCATTGCTACGGAATTGCCAACTCCATCAAGTTTTGCGTCATTCCTGCCGTCCTGTCACAAAGAAGTGTGAGAGTTAGACACCGATGCATTGCAGACATAATTTCAAATTCCAGTAAGATCTCCTACAAGTTGAAAGAAAATTCACAATTTCCACAAATAATTCCACTCAACAAAGGATCCAAGTTATGAATTGCTGCTACTCTTATAGAAATCTACTAACAAGGTATAAGTTTTCTCTCCGATTCCTAATCTGAACGTGGCCGCTTCGAACAAAAACCTGAGTGAGCGCTGCAATGGTGACTAGCTCACGACCTCAAAAAAAGCCATCCTTGGTGGGTGAAAGAGTAGCTTTCAGAAGAAAGGATCACAGATTAGTGGGGGTCATCCTGTTATAGAAGGGCGGCCGAAAGAATCTAACCAACCTTTCCTAGATTAGCTCATTGACCAGACTCTACCAGCTTTTCGAGAAAATTATTCTATCGTTCATCAAGAGTTTGTAGTCCAGCAAGGTAGATTTTATTAGAGTTCGTGGTGAAAGCTGTAGGCTTAAACGTGCAACAAGAATTTTACTTATGATCGCAGTTCATTCGAACTTTTTTTGAAATACAACCGGCATACGGCCTTCGTAGTTTAAATCTCCGAAGAATATTCTATTTTGGGAACCAGACGAATAGTTCTCGAAAGTAAAACATGTGTTAAATGAGCTGATCATTTAATGACGATCAATGATAGCAGGTGGATAAGGAAAACAGTTGGGAGAACTATAAACAGACCCACTTGTCGTCTACAGAGGTTATCTGCAACATGACTGAACATTACTCATGTCTGCTAGCTACGCTTGCATTCCAAGAGACTTCGGAATCAGGGAATTACTTGCAATGGACATCATGCACAAAACAGACTGGCTTGGCTGTAAAAACGGAAGTGACGAAAAATGAAACACCATCAGATTCTACTAGAATTCAGAGCATTCGAGTCAGCTGACTAACTGTTCAACGAGCTGAAGAAGAATATGTGGTCCATTCTCGAACAGAGAAAAATATTGAAAGTTCTTCCATACTGGATGATCAGTGAGCAAAATTTTTCCAAAGTTCTGCGGTAAAATACTTCAATAAAAAAGTGTTATTATAATAATACAAAATTTAAAAATGTGCTTTAAGAGGACTCAGATACCACAACGCCCCACCGAGAAATAACAACGAGAGCGCGAATCACTATTTCACCGCGACCTACTACGGTAAGATACTAGTTTTTATAGGACCGCCACAGCAGGATTAATTTAAAAGTGCACTTCTCAACGGTCTTGCTCATTTATTGGCTTTGTGACTTAAAACAAACCGATGCTATGTTTTTATAAGAAAGTTATTTTGCATTTCTTGCAGATAGAACTACCACACGCTGCGATAACTGACGGTAGAGAATTCGGCTTTGAAATGGAGAACACGTTACCACCCAGTATGGTCACTTTGATCATCACCACCTCTACTACTGGAGCTGATATGAACCTATTTTCAGCTAACTTCGAGTTCTTCTCTCTAGGACAGAATCGGACAGCTGCTGCTTTGTCCACTACTTTAAGTGCACCTTATTCCAGTACAGGTGGAGCTTTAAATACCATGCCATCCAGCACAATTCCCACACTGCTTCAAGAACCAGAGCAGAAAAAAGAAAAAGAAAAGGAAGAAGAAGAAGAAGAAGAAGAAGAAGAAGAGAAAAGTACGCAAGTGGTGACGAAAATCCGTCCCACAAATTTCGGTGATGAAAATATGATGCGCTCTAGCATAGAGCCTGAAATTCTTCAAGAACAGATCACTACAATGCCGGAAGAACGGGATATGAATGAAGTGACGTCTACTGTACCTGCTATTACCACCGTCCCACAGGCTACATCTACTGGGCCAAATATCTCAATTTCTGAAGTGACGCCATCTACTAGTCTATCTGCCACAAGTGAAACCAATTTGCCTCCTTTTGAAGTGATCCCTGGAGTATTTGAGGAACAGAGGACGACTCTTGCACAAGAAGAATTGTCCACGGCATCCCAAGGTGCAGAAGAAATGACAGTGAGCAGAAATATCATTCCTTATGTTTTCCATGAATAATTTGTTAAATAAGTGCACAAATAACCATACGCTTTTTAATTACACTTAGACAACCATTTCTCTTGGATACCTCTCTTAATGAATAAGTTTAAAGCTAACACTCAATATTTACTTAGTCTAACAAAAAGATGAAAATGTAGTATTTCTATAAGCGACCGGTTGAGATAACGTTGTAATGCAACAAATCGAGCAGGACAATTAATTACAGCGACGGTGGGGGCGGTTCTTCTAGGAAGCCACGTCAAGGGACCGCACCTTAAGTCTGATTGGGCAGAAGTTGTTTTAATGGTCCACTACACCAGATGGTTACAGTGGAGAAATGGGCAAAAATTATCGAAACGCTTGCCAAAATTTACATCTTTGATCACCAAAGATAAACCGTTTCCCGCGAACATCGAATAAATTTAAAATTCCTTACTTTGAGATACCTATTGTACTATACCTATTGTACTACAATCAAAAAAGTTCAGACCACCGCCAGTTTCTTGCCCGATGAAGAACAACTGCCTCCAGACACGTTCATTAAGCCGAAAGGTTTGCCGATTCATTTTGTCTTTATGGATGATTTTATTTGTCCAATTCAGTAAGGTTCGATATGCACTAGATTTTAGTATCGTCCCAGTTCCCACTTAGTAAACTGTGATATCTGTTGGGTGATGGAACCAAGTCGGTAACATAAGAGCCTTCTGCTTTTCTTTGACGATTCATGGAAGATATATTTATTTATGTGATCTTATAAACTGATCTTCTTAAGCTGACGCGAGGTTGGTACAGATCTTCGTTGTCGTTGTCGTTGTCGTTGTTTTTGATGTTATTGATCGGTTTACTCGGTCCAAGCTCAAACGCCAAGAAAAAGTTCTTTAGAAACCTCTAAACGAGAGTTCAACCTGGATTTAATGTTACTTTTGTTCTAGTGTTATTGGTTGTATGAGTCAGTTTGTTATTTTTAAAAAATTTTTGTATTACCTCACCTCACATGTGGGCACTTTTTTCGTTCAACGTTTCATCACATCTTTCTCGCACCAAGACGTTCGGATTTCGCACGTGGATTCGGTTGCTGTAGTCTTTACGAGTGTCATTAAATGCTGATCGAGGAGGTTCTTCTCAGAGTCCTCGGATAACCATGCTAGACCGTTCTTGGATCTTTACCTCAGACATTCACCGGTTTTTGTGGATCGTAAGGACTCATTCTCAAGAATATCCGGTACAAATTTTCCATTCCAGGATTAACGGGAGCCGTAACTGGCCAGGAGCGGAGTCGAATAAGTAGGTCGATGTGCCAATAATTTTAACGAAAAAAAGGTAAATATAAATGTGGATGAGCCCACAGAGGTGTAAATCATTGAGAGCAGAAAATATTTTCTACTGTTATGTATTGAGTCTTGCTGTTGTTCTCGATGTTCATTCATTTCTAAGTAAATATTTCAGGACAGTGTCCAACCCCCAATGACAAATCGGATCGTAATCGGACAGATGTGCTGTTCCTCTTGGATTCCTCGAATTCATTCAATGAACACAAATTTATGCACGCTATCCAACTAATTCTGGATACGGTATCGCACTTTGGAAATATTGGACCAGATGGTACTCAGGTCATTGCCACTTTATCCTTCTTTTTTTATTATAAAACTACATTAAAAACAATGAGTAATAGAAGTTGATACTTGATACTTGAGTGGCCCGTCCTCACTAGTTGTGTGGGCCCCATCATAACCTCCATTTTTCGTAGACTTGTTGATTAAGCTATTGTGGTTCCCTGGAATCCCGAGGCCAGCCTGGCCAAAGTCTGTTCCAGGTCGTCAACAAGACATACAGTCGCGGTTCTTGTGGATTACAGGGAGATTTCCCACCATGCGACTTGTCCGATGTCAGGACAATGGTGGATCCTGGTATTGGTTTGCTCCTAGCTAGCCTTCCTGATGGAAGCGCCGGCCTCCTCAGCTTGGGAGACCCTCCCGGAGGAATGGATATCCGCGTTGTACACCCAGGAACACCTCCCAGCCACGATGAGGTGGTAAACCGTTGGGTGGAATAGAAGTTAATGGGAATCAAAACAAGACACCGTATTCTATCTATTAGGTTTTTTGAAAATTAATGTCGGATTTGTAGTCCATTTCTTCTCGTAGATGTTTTGACAATGGTTTTTCTTTCGAATGCTGTAATATCTTCCATTATAGAAAAGCTCACTTTATGCATTCTTACTGGTGTAGTTGAATTATGATGTAAATAGAGTTATTGACAAACTTTACAGGCTAGGAATCGCGATGTCAAAAAAGCAATTGCGATAAATTTACATTGATGAATTCAAGACAGACTTGTGCGGCCAAATAGCCAGAAACAACACATCGAACGTACCCTGCAAGATTGGCTTGGAAATTTTCTTCGTGGGGAATTCGACATTCAAGATGAAGTGCGGACATTCTTCAGCTATTGACGACGATGAATTGAAGGCTTTGGTGGAAGTAAAAACATGCACGCCTTTTCAAGAGCTTGTAGAAAACTCTGTATAAGCGTATTACCTCTTCTTAAGCATTCAAAGATTTCAAGGTAACTTGATAAAGGGGTAACACACGATTTGAATGACAATCAAAGAAACCGTTTTGAGGTATCGTCGACGCTTCTTCTAAGCAACTACCGGTTTCTCGATTGTATTGTGACGTATTGTGACGGGGAATGGATCCTCTACGGCAACCGGCGACGATCGGCTCAGTGGTTGGCGGCAATGACGTTCTGAGCCACTTCTCAAGGGCAAAATTATATAAAAAAAAATCGTGCTTACTGTTTGGTGGTTCACTGCTGGTTTGATCCATTCCCGCTTCCCGAATGCTGATGAAACGACAACGGCAAAGACATACGTTTAGTACTTACTTGGATACTTGGATACGTTGACGGCCCGTCTTCACGAGCTGTACGGACCCCAGCACATATGCCATTCGTTCCCTTCTCCCGCAATCGTAGTCCATGGTGGCGGTCTCATGGTAACACTTGCTAGTCTCATACCGTGATCTGTAAAACGACAGCAGCTGCGGGTACAACTGATTAACTTTGTTTGCGAACACGTGCGCCCAACGTGTAGGTGGTCGACCAAGAAGACGTTGGCATTCTTTTGGAGTCCACTCTACTGTTCTTTTCGTTCAACTGTCGTCGGCTGTTCTCATTATGTGGCCGACCCATCTATGTTTCGTTGTCGATGTATATTCTCCTGGATCTCGAAAATGTGACAGATTTCGAAAGTCAGAGCTTCGCATTCCGTCTACATATTGAGAGTCCCGGTCATATTTCAAAAGACATCGCTCGGGCACTCTGTGAGTAGTGCGAAGCATTCTTGACGTAGTTGAAGTAACAACCCACGTCTCTTCAGCATAACAGCGCGCTAGGAGGACCGTAGAATCAAAAAGATGAGCGCGAATTTTCGGGTCCTTCAGTTGGTCGGTGGCTTCTTTGAGAGGCCCGAATGCGGCCCAAGCTGCTCTCCTTCTTCTATCTAGTTCCCCGCTCATGTTGTCTTCCATATTCATTAATCGCCCAAGGTAAACGTACGAGGTGGTCTCTGCAATGAGAGAGCTTTCCAATTCTATTTTTCGCCTTCGCACCATGGGTTTTTCATGAACTGGGTCTTCTTTCGATTTATGCGAAGCCCGATCGTTTTTCCCGCTTCGTTGAGCTCGTTGATCATCACTTTTGCTCAGCTAGTACTTCTTGAGGAGATGACAATGTCGTCGGCAAAACGAAGGTTTGGTAGGAATCTTCCATCAATATATATGCCTTTCTCATCCCAATCGAGTGACTTCATTATCCACTGCAGTGCGGCATTGAACAGCTTTGGCGATATTGTGTCGCCCTGTCGAACCCCTTTTCCTATGGGTATTGTAAGAGGTCGATGGAAAACTGTATTTTCGTAGTGCAGTTCCGATAACAGTCGGACAGCGTCCTTATGTAGGACGGCTCCACTCCTTCGTCGACGAGCGCTGATAGAATTCCATTCGTTTCGACACTGTCAAACGCTTTCTCATAGTCGACAGAGGTTAGAACTAGAGCCAAGTGGTATTCCCGACAAATTTCGATGACCCTAGACACGGTTTGGATGTGGTCCATACAGCAAAATCCTTGCGAAATCCTGTTTGCTCGACTGGTTGCGTCTCAGCCAATGTCATTGATATGCGCGAGAAGAAAATATTCGTGAAGAGCTTGTAGAGTACACTTAACTAGCATATGGGACAACAGTTACGAAGATTCCTTCGGTCTCCTTTCTTGGGTAGGATAACCGTGCGCGACGTCCTCCACTGGTCTAGGATTTTCTCCTTTTGAAAGTAGCCTGTCATATGATTTGCGAGAAGTACATGTAAATTGTGGCCTCCAACTCTAAGGAAATCGGCAGTGATATTATCTGGTCCTGGAGCTGTGCCTCTTTTTATGTTTTCTATCGCAACTCGAACCTCCGACGGAGGAATTCCAGGTTTTTTCTCCAGCGGGTATATTAAAGTCCGGGACGGGGATTGTGGAACGGAAAAGGATATTATAGGGGAAGTCTTGACGACCATCTTCGTTCATCACGGCTGACAACGGAACATTATAATCACACAAGTCCCGACAGCACTTTTTTCAGGCTGCTTCTTTCCTCTGCTGCTTCCAGTATTTTCTTCCGCTTGAACCGTTGTAGATCTTCGTGCAAAGCTCTTCTGCAGCTGGCATTTATTACTAGCCATTTTAAACGTGTTGCAGTAGGATCAAGCTTCAGTTTCCATCTCTTCGAGCAACTCCATAGTAGTGAAGGAGATGCGATCCGATCTTCTTGCTTGATGAACTGAAGCTAACTCGGTACAATTTTTCAGTTCNGCGAGAAGACAATCTTCGTGAAGAGCTTGTAGAGTACACATAACAAGCATATGGGACAACAGTTACGAAGATTCCTTCGGTCTCCTTTCTTGGGTAGGATAACCGTGCGCGACGTCCTCCACTGGTCTAGGATTTTCTCCTTTTGAAAGTAGCCTGTCATATGATTTGCGAGAAGTACATGTAAATTGTGGCCTCCAACTCTAAGGAAATCGGCAGTGATATTATCTGGTCCTGGAGCTGTGCCTCTTTTTATGTTTTCTATCGCAACTCGAACCTCCGACGGAGGAATTCCAGGTTTTTTCTCCAGCGGGTATATTAAAGTCCGGGACGGGGATTGTGGAACGGAAAAGGATATTATAGGGGAAGTCTTGACGACCATCTTCGTTCATCACGGCTGACAACGGAACATTATAATCACACAAGTCCCGACAGCACTTTTTTCAGGCTGCTTCTTTCCTCTGCTGCTTCCAGTATTTTCTTCCGCTTGAACCGTTGTAGATCTTCGTGCAAAGCTCTTCTGCAGCTGGCATTTATTACTAGCCATTTTAAACGTGTTGCAGTAGGATCAAGCTTCAGTTTCCATCTCTTCGAGCAACTCCATAGTAGTGAAGGAGATGCGATCCGATCTTCTTGCTTGATGAACTGAAGCTAACTCGGTACAATTTTTCAGTTCTTCGACAACCAGCTCGTAGTCTTCAGTCGGGTCTTCTTTAATCTGCCAGTCACGTTTGGATAGGAGTTCGTTCGGAATGTTCTCGTCGTATACAGCTAGAATTTTTCCTCGTGTTCGATGAAGAGAGTTTTTTTTCCAGCTTGCCGCTAAATCGCACAGAATGACCGGACTACCGATGTGTCAAATAGGCACCATCTTCTGTTTGTCAAAATATGATCGATCTCCGCATGAGTAATGCCGTTGGGAGGCCCCCATGTCCACCAGCGGCTTCCTTTCTCCTGGAAAAACGAGTTCCCATGGAAGAGACGTGCTGCTGACAGGAGTCCTGCGAGACGGTTCTCATTCTTATTTCTTTCTCCTAATCCGAAATTTCCGATCCTGTATTCGCTCTCGTTGGCCTTTCCTATTCTGGCATTGAAGTGTCCGACAACAAATTCATAATATGCTTTTTATTGCGGACGACTTCCTCCAACTGGTAGTAGAACGCATTTAATTCGTACTTATCAGCTATGTCGGTCGGTGAGTAGCAATTGATGATAGTGATCTTCTTATGATGCGATAGTTGTAGACGAAGGACGGCTATGCGAGGGGAAAGGGTCACGTATGAATCGATGAGATGGACAATGGACGGGTGGATGACAAAACCTACGCCACCGACATTTCGTGACGGGACCTTTTCTCCACGGATCACAAGGGTCCCGTTGTTTAGTTGGCGTATGTTGGTTTTCTTAATTTTTGTTTCTTGTAATGCGATCACATGGAATATAAGGCGATCTGCGCCTACAAGAAGGGCGTGAAGATCGGCGTCTGGGGAGAGTGTTCTGGCATTATACGTGCATAGTAAGAAACAATCTCCATGACGTGTCGTGCGTTTGTTCGGCAGATCCGTTTCCAATGACGTACTGCGTAACCCGTGATCTTCTGGCCTCTCACCGGTCGTCTCACCACCTAGCGTCATAGACGGGAGCACCCTGTGTGCGGGGTGCTGAGGCTAGGCTATTGCTGATCGTGCCACTTGGTTCTCCCTGGAATCCTGACGTAACCTTGCAAGGGCGTATCCAGATCCTCACCACGATGTGGATCAGAGGGAGGTGTGCTTTCGGCGGCGAATCCTTTGCTCGGTCTCCCTACTAGTTGATTCGGGAAAATGTTAAAACCGAAATGAAACGAAAGTAGGAATGTAAAAGTAACCGACCGCTCATGGACGATGGACGGCCAAAATCCTACGTTTAGTAGGTCGACGAAATGCACCAGAAACTTCAACGGCAGCTCCCAGCGTTCGTCAACAGGGTACCAACCCTTCTGCGCGGCAACGCACGACAACCACACGTCGCACTTCTAACTGTTTAAGAGTTGAACGAGCTGAGATACGAAACTCTGCCTCATCCACCACACTCGCCAGATGTTTGGATTTCCTAATGCGAGAAATGCTTCAGAAATCAAACAGAGGTCGAAACTGCTTTCAGTGCTTTCATCACTTCCAAAAACCTTGAGTTTATGAGCGTTAGCAAAAAAAATTTGATTCTTGTAAGAGAACATTGTTTGATTTTAAAGCACTTTATTTCGAATGACAAAATTTGTTTTTATTTGAGGTATGCCGCTTTAAACTACACGTTGAAATCTGACATTGATTTCCGAAGGACATAATATTTGTAATCTCTCTCCTTTCAATGAGTCTGCAGTTATTTTCATTAGATATGTTTTAGAAGATCTTTACTCACCCGGCTTAGCACTTTACTCTTAATGAGCCTATTAAGATTAGATTAATCTTTAAGGTTTTGGGGAGGACATCTACAGGGCTGACATTAACTATATTGAATTTACATTCTTTTATTGATGAATTGACACGAGGTTGTTACTAAACATTTATTCGGCTAACGTTTTGTCGTCTTCGTCTTTCTAAGTGCACTGTACTCTACAGCAATATGTTGAATTATTCAACTCAAACGTAAGCATGAACTTGGGATCGACTGCAGGTGTCACTTGTGCAGTACAACTCGGAGCCGTACTTAGAATTCTCGTTGAGAAAGCACAATTGCAAGCAATGGTTGGTTGACGACATTGCCGACACTGATTATATGCAGGTATGTGCGGGTCCTACAACGAAATTCTAGGCCAATTTTATTTTTTTTGCACTAATCAAAGAACAAACTCAAAGATTACTGTGCACACAGAAAAATTATGAGAAGCCATGGCAAAGCCATGACACCGTAAATTTTAGAAAAATATTCGATGAAAGATAACAGTTAACAAATGTGAATAGGGAACTAAAGTTAGAAAGAGGGGCAAAATGAGCATAACAAAATATTTCGATGACCTTTTCTCATACCAGGCTGTGCAGTTCTATACCAAGCTCTTCTCAAATCTTGCAATATGTGTTCCTCGATCTTCACACTAAACCGGCTCTTATTTTAGCCTGTCTTGTCCAATCTGCTTTGTTATGCATTCATTCCCTCCAATAAGTTTCATAAAGAACTACATACACTTACTGTGTTTTAGGGTAGTGGCAGCATGCTGGGAAAAGCCGTTGAGAAGGTAGCACGCTTCGCCTTCACGAAAAACCGCGTAAGAATTTACTTGTTTCCTTAGAAAAACGACGTTGTTTTAATTAATTTTTGAACACTAAATTCAATCATGGAAGAAACTAGTTCGGTATTTCGAACATTTAGCATTCATCAAAGGATCACCACTTGGGTAATCCTGAGCTGGTTAATTGCTTGTGAGGCAACATGGCACATGAGCATGCGAAAGATAAGGGAGAGAGTTAAATACTGACTTATATGGGCAATAAACTATGTACTTGTTCTAATACAAGCTCATATATATGAAAAAGATGGTGTTTTCTACTATAGAAAATTAGCTTATCGATTTCTTGTATCCATAACTAAACTAGTATATAAGAAGTTCGCCATATTTATCCAGCGAAAGGTGCGGCGTGTGCTATAATGGGATGGCTATATAGGGTAGAGAGGTGATTTTAGTTGAGTTCTAAAAATGTAGGTCATACAGCCTCTCACAACTCTCAGTAAGTTATCGAGATTGAGTAAAGCCGATAACATTAAACAACAACATAGTTATGCTTTCGCGGGTGGTGCAGTGGTCGGAGGCGGTGTGCAACACATGTGGAATCGATCCCCGCGTCCGTGGTCCACTAAGCCTTCCATCTCTCCGGGGTCGGCAAATTGGTATAAAACTTGTCTGGGATGATAGTAGCGGCACTGGTTCGAGACATCGGTAGGCAGGCGAGTTATTGTAAAGGCCAGTTATGCATTCAATCACCTCTAAATGGTGCTTACTGAAGTCGAAATACATAGCGCATCCATCAAAAATTGATCAACCCCGAGACATTTATCCTTTATCCTTTATAGTTTTGCTTTCAGGGCGACCGTCCAGATGCTGAAAACGTGCTAGTGGTACTCACCGATGGACGATCGGAGGATCGAGTCCAGGAACCGGTTGAGGTATCGAAATCCTCTTAGAAAGGATAGTATCTCAAGCATTTATTTTCGAAAAGCTCATTTTTTCACTACCATTTCCTACTAGTTTTCAATTTGATAACTTGCTTAAGGCCTATTGATTAGTTTTAGTGAAAGGCGCTATATGGGAAAATGATATCGATCGGTCTTATGATAAAAGATGTTACTATGTTGAAAAACAAGAAGAAAGCGGTGAAACGAAAACGAATAAGGCAAAAACGAGCGGCTTTCTTTAAAAATGGGACCCGAAAGAAATTCGTATGCTTTGAACGAATATTTTTGTAACTAAATATTCGAGAAAGCAAAGAAAAGGAAGGAAGGTTATTCTTAATGAAAAATCAAAACGTGGCAGTGAGAATAAGGATGGAAAATGAAAAATATACAAGAAAAATAAGTTTAGTATGATGTTCAGGTTGCTAAGAAGAACAATCTTACAGTATTGGTGATCGCTACCTTAGAAGCAAATCCAAGCTACCTTATGGAACTAGCAGGTACTACTAGCGACCGTGTAGTTCTTGTTCCGATCACTCTTCCAGTTTTTCTTTTTCTTTATTTGTGTTTTCGTTTATTCTCCATCGTCTGCCAAAAAATGGTCATCATAGGCAACATGGACAACGTTTTTCAACTTCGCACTGAACCTAGCAAGTCTCTGTCGAGAAAGCTCGCCGACCGTATCAATTCTGTCGCTGCAGGTTCAATTTTTCACCATACATTTATGATAGTCACACATTGATCTGGGCATTAACGTGTCATTCATATCGGTCTACGCTGTGGTTCGAATCCCAGAGTCCACACAACTATGCCACAAAGCGTTTACCGTGGCTTCTCAGTATTATATGCTAGCTGTTCATCAGCCGCGTATGATGACGCTTTCATTTCTAGAATGATCCTTAGTACTTATTCAATAAACGGATGTTGATAAGATCCACATTCATTTTCTCATGAAAAACTTCGATAGATGTGCAGATAGCGCAATTCACTGACATAGACAATGGAGCATGCGCAGCGCAGTGTTTAGAGGTGTATTACAACAGACGTGGGGTCCTTGGTTCTAGATTTTCAAGCTCTATTCTTCTGTGGTCGGCAAATTCATCGCCTTCTGTCCGGCAGGATAAAAGCGCTGAAGTGGCACTTTCGCAGCCCACTGAGAGTCATTGTATAGTCGAGATATGCATGCAGCCACGTTTACTGTGCTACGAATGAAGACGAGTTCATCGATTAATCTACGCCAAGCGCATTCTCTTTTAAGATCCAATAGTAAACACCAAAATATGGTCATTCATTTTCATTATTGCAGAAAATGTGGAGCTGTAAACTTGGAAATTTAAACATTATCTGAGACTCACGGTCAAATATTTGAACGAAATGATTTGTGTTGCCCTTAGAAACCGCCGAACTTGATGCAATACGCGTCGTAGACGATCATTCGGTGCTCACGATCGCATTGCCCGTCGACGAGGAAATGGAACAAACAGAGAAAGAGCAAGAGAAAGAAGAAGAACCAAAGACCGAAGCTAAGGAAAATGCTGGAAAAACAGGACTCGAAACCGAAATAGGCCCCATCAGTGGGTGTTTTATATCGAAAAATAGCAACCTTTCATAATTTAATAAGATATTCATGTTTATCACAGTGAGTCTAGAGACTAGTATATATATATATATATATATATATATATATACATATATATATATATATAACCACGACTGTGCTGAGATATTTGCAGAATTCTGGTCCGCCGGTATCTGCGATGAGGAACGAACTGGCTACTACACTTTCCGGTGGCTAAAGCGTTCACCACCGTGCGTGCCCGTCCTTTCGCCTTTGTCTCAGCTAGTTTTCCATACACCACTGCCATTAACAATCACCCGCATGGTCTCGTGATCAACGCGAGTAGCTAGAGTAGAGTAGAGTAATAGCTAGTTCGGTCTCCACCGCTGTCACCTGCGGTCCGGAGTTTTGCAAATATCTCAGCACCATTGTGGTTATATCAAACATAATATCCTGCCGTGAAAAATAATAATAGACAGTAAATAAAAACCTGACATTATATATATGTAACCTTTTTTGGATTTTATAACCTTTCCAAGGTTATTCCATTGAAAGCGATTAGATTTCTTGATGAATTACAGCTACTGGGCCACTTTACCCAGCCGTCTCCTCGACAGAAACAGAAACACAGCGCATGGTGGAATTGGAATGTTCTCATCTGGGATTTAAGGTGGACAGTATAAATAAATAAATAAATGCGTGCTATTAACAAAAAACATTTTTTGACGTAAGGCAGTCTTTAATTCCTAACAAATTCTAGGATAGAGTACCTGCTCCTGTTACTTTCTAGAGGAAGTCTTTGTACCATTTTCGTATCTTTATGATATGTTTATCAAACCACTTCTACTTGTTCATCACGACTCTTTTGTAGTTTGATTCGTATTAGAGCATTAATTTTCTACATTTCTATTTTCCTTTATGTAGCAGTGATTATTCAATGGCATTAACCAACACTTGAGAAAAATTCTATCTGAAACTATCGACACAAAGAAACGCTGCAGTTCATGCAAGAAAGTGGATATTATTTTAGATAAAGATCAATCCTCCAGCTGGTTATGAGGGTGTAGCAGTTGTAAAAGGGCAAGAGGACAACGAAGGTTGCAGGAAGGTAACATATTACGCACAGATATTTACTAAAAGATCGACTTCCTACACTTCCTCAGCATAATAATCGATATATCTGTACACTTGTTCTTACGAACTGCCTTTTTTTTTTTAGCTTACGCGAGGTTTGTATAGATGTATAGATGTCATTGTTGTTGTTGTTGTTGTTCAGCTGAAAAAGAGTGGTTTGTAGGAATTTTTTTATTAAATTCGACATCCATCAATTGAAAAAAGGAATGGTCAACATGCTTCATTTTCAGCGTAGAAGTTATAAAACTAGCTTTTAAGAATCATTCTTTTAATTTTGCCGTTGACGGAAGATAAAATATGAACTATAAAACGAGATCCAGCTGATTCTATTAATATTGATTGCCTCTCTGGACGAGTTGTCCGCCTCCTTTAAGGCAAACTTTTGCACACCAATTGCACTCTTTTCTATTGCTATATGTTTCCTTATGTTCGATGGAACACCTTTTCATTTTTGACTTAAATACAAGTAAGACGAAAATGAGGAGAAGAGGAAGTTTCTGAAGTGTTTTCAGCCTTATTTCTTAGAATGGATGAAGGAGATAGATTCTTAGTTATTTCTAAATTAATCGATGAAAACCATTTCAAAATTGTGCGAAAAAAAATTTAATATAAGAATGAGTTTCTCTCATGCTGTTTTAGGAAATTCACTCACCTAACGACGCCGGGAGTTATAGTGTTGATTTTGTCGTAGCCACCAATGATTGCGGTATCACCCGGGTGCCATCCGTACGTCTAAACAGAATCTTACAGTAATCCCTCCTTCCAGGTTTTACTTGTACTTCGATCGCGTTCGTCTTTAGATATCACCAGTCGGTCACAATTACTCTTTGATACTGCATCTGAAACATCACGATTCGTTGAGAACCGGTGACGATCGTGCCTATTTACTACAATGTTTCATCGGAAAACAACTGGATTCTAGCGAACTGACAGCCGACCTTAATATAATGAAGGGGTTAGTAATTTTTAGTCTATTTGGTTGTTCTGTGTAGAAAGCTTCAATCTGTTTCGTTCACAAGTCACATTGAGCGAAGACGCAAGAAGCATCAATCTTTCTCTGTAACCGTCTTCGACCTCTACTGTATAATTTTTCTAATCATCAGGAAATCAAGCACGCAAAGAATTTTCTTCCCAAAAAAGTTTTTCATGGCTTCTGACAATTCTATTTTTTCTAATCTTTCGGAAACTCTACAAGTTTTTTGGTTTAAGTTATATAATAGACGGGATTCTGTGATTTTCTGGTGATCATCAATGCACAGGGCGAAGGAAATGTAGCGTGCAGTATCATTACTGGTCCGTATGATGACCATGTGGTCCTGAATGTCTGCATAAAAAGGATAAGAAGACACTATCGGTTCTTATTGTGTTGCTTTATATTTCGTCTGAGAGGTGCTAACATAAAGTTCCTCTCTTCTTTTTTCCTGAATTATAGCAGGTTTAAAATAAAGTAGAATGGAATAAATTTCTAAGGCAGAATGAGATGAATTTTTCTATTCACAAATTCGAAAGCAGCCACAGTTGGATACCTCAGATTCTATGGTTCATCTTTCGTCCATTTTAGGTCATTTCCAACAAGTTGATTTATTTTTGAAACGGTTTTTTCTTCATACTTTTAAAGAAAAACAACGTACATACGTCCTTATTTTCACTAATGACCTGAAACTGATTGCAAGCTTAATAATGCTAATATAAATAATACTGCTGGAATCAGAAGAAAAGAAAGATTAGAAAAAAAGGCGGAAGAGTAGGAATGTCTTTCTTATACTCATACCAGTTTAGAAGCATGATTTCACGCCTGAAATCTGTGCGAACTAAGCCAAATATGGAATCATGCGTCGCTAAACACAAGCAAATCAACCTACTCAGCGGACGAGTTACACTGTTAATTAAGAAATATAGGGTGAACGCTTTCATTTGAAATATTTGAAATCGAAATTTTAGTGTATGTTGTCATTACTGCGCCAAATAAAACCAAAGAATTTGAAACTTGGATTCCACAAGATTTCTCTTACGTGTAGCGAAATGATCCGAAGTGCTCTACACTAAACATGTGCTTTTTGGCTTAATCACAGTGCTTCGGTTTCCAAGCTTCCCATCTTTTCGAGATCGAAACTTTAGTACCACAGAATTGTTCGCGAGTATAGGAATAATGATTTGGTAGACCACCGGAAATTATTGCATAGGCCAGATATACATTCAATCATCTCCAACCGTGCTCAATGAAGTCGGTTGGAGCTGATCAAACGCTGGAATCCTTTTTAGTTATCTTTTCATCTTTTAAAAGCTATCTTTCAGGGAACTGATGATCGCCGAGACGATCTCGTTGTTATCGGTGCCGCCGACGTGTGGCTATTCGATTCGGCGAGATTCTCCTGATGGTGCTATAATCCACGACGCATTCGTCGGACAGACTCTCTATCATCGATGGGAATGTGATGGAGGAGAAGGTATGGTCGGGGTTTGCTAGTTTGCTCGTACACGTTGATCTATTCACTCCTATCATAGGGTAATACGCATTTATGCGTGATAGTTCTTCTGTCAAGCGAACCATATTCTTCATCAGTTTGGGGTTATCAAATGTGCTTCTATATAGAAAAAGGAAAAAACTATTTCAGAAGCCATTCAAAAACAACATGATGAAAATCGTTAGCATAACTTCTCTTCAGATAATTTACTATCTTTTGAAGATGTAGGAATCGTTGACGAACGAGGCACCATCAGATAGTTTTCAATAATAAACTTTGTAGTAGTACCTAGGTTCTATTTTCCATTAACCTCGGCATTGAATTATGAATTCGTCGTTTTCTCTCTCAGCAATCGTGAGGTTGTTAAGCAGCATACGTTTACTTCCATGCAATAACACACATACAACACAGTCGTAGCTGACGTTTCGGCAGAGTCGCCTTCTTCACGGCCTGGAAGGGTACACTAATACCCAACTTACGAGAGCAAAGGCTTCAATAACACAAATAGAAAGATGAAAATCTTAACAATAATTACAAGATCTGAATTATAAAGCTGAACGGTATTCAGAAGCAAACAAGGTCTATGGAATCCAAATTCATAATTGCTATGCGAGTGACGATGTTGATGAGAAGTTCCCGATCGTGGACAGTAAAGGGTTCGGTTCCTTTTCTAAATTTGATTCTAAACCTTGTTGCACTAACCTCAACCATGTTATCTTGGGTGAGTTGCCCTTCGTTCTTCACGAATAATATTCTCTACGAGCTCAAGTTCCCTTTTTTCTGTGAAATGACATATTATTACTGTCATAGTATTACATATACATATATGAGTAAGGAAGAAGAAGAATATAGAATGGAAAGAATATTTTTCTTTAGTGACAAATTCTATGAACGATTACAGTAAGGATTCACAGGGTACCATGTCCTTCTTTGTTGCACACCAATTTTAGAGCTTTCACTAAGTAGTAAGAAACGCTTGTTAATATTATCCTAATTGTATTTTATGATGTCCGTTCAAAATTTGACTCATTGCATTATTGTATATAATAGTGTGTACTCGACGGTGAGTAACGTAAGGAAAATGGTGCCGTTAATCACGAGAACTATGGTTCGACCCCTCTCCGGCCCAACAAGCTTCCCATACTTCTGGAGTCGGAAAATCGACACCAGACACATGTAGGATCATCCCGCTTCCTGGAATTCGTGTGGGAACGCCTTATCTCAAATATCTCCAAGGTTAGAAAGAGAATCGACTCGACCAGCATTCTACGACATTCATAGAGAAGAAGGCATCCTCAAACAGGATCCGAACGCGCATGGAAGAGTTCAAAGACCTTGGATGGTGGATAGAAGAAAATGAATCGAAAGCACGAAGTGCTGGGTTACGCACAGTTCAGTACACATAGTGTCATATGGTAAATAAATAAATCAAGTAATTAAAAGATCTGAGGCGAATCAAATGTTGACTAACTAGGATTGAAATAGTGGTTAGATTATTGGATGATGTTCTTTCACAGAGTAGATGTTCACCAAATTTTCAGATGCTCATCAGATTTGTCCCTGTTGTCGGATCCAAAATACGATGATGATCGTCTTGCCGCCTATTCAGAGAGCAAGGCGTTCGCTTTTGAAGGAGCCGATTTGTTGAAATTCGTCTGTAAACTCAGTCTGTGCACGAGGGATGAAGACGGTTGCGAAGGAGTTACAGTAGGTGCTTAGGAGTAATACTGCATGCATTTGACACCCAATGAATTGCGGTAGGCGATAGATTTAGGGAGCGTTTGCATCCTTCCACATAAGTCTTGTAACAATTTGAAAATCCTAGAAGGATATAGAAGAAGATTAGTCCGTTGGGCCAGCTCAAACTAACGAACGCGTGTCTATTTCAAGACTCCTTTCAGAACTTTGCTCTACGAGCCCAAAATGGACAGTAGAGTATCGAAACATTAAAATTGTAGTGAATTTAAGGTTAGGTGGTTTTAGACTTTAAGAACACAAACAGTAAACGTTGCAGAAACTGCTGAACAGTTTAAGCCAACAGGGCAAAGCTTTCCTTCTGCCACGTCACTTTCTTTGCGACTTTATTGATTTACTATTGACTCTATTGATTTGCTTCTCTATAACCGTCATCATCTATCAGCTTCACATAGCCCTTGGCTCCAGCGTAAAAAAACGTTTAATAATTAAAAAGTAGCTATTATCGTAAATCGCCAAGGCTGTTTCCCGCATTATTTTTAAGCTGTGGTTATTTCAGCCTCCAACGTGCGATGACTCAAACACATCTGATTTACTGGTCACTCGACGATTTCGACATTATAGTACGGCTATGGAGGGCGCGCTAAGCTCGGCGTTATCCACCAAAGTCGGCATGGCGGTGAACAGGCCGCCGACACTTCAGGATCGTGTACATGATTTATTTTCGACGAGAGCCGCCTCGTCAGTGATAGCAATTGTTCTTCTCATCGCTATTATTGCAACCGGTAAGTAATCGGATTGCTCGGCTTCACTGTGCTAAAAATCCATGAAACATTGCATTTCTTCCCCGGTCTTCCGATATGACACAGTGCAAGTGGTATTGCGAGAGCTTCCAGCGCTTTTATTTCACTATTCCGCTTTGTTGTATGTGTTATAATTGTGAGGAAGTAGACGTATGCTGCTTAACAACCTCATGATTGCTGAGAGAGAAAACGACGAATTCATAATTCAATGCTGAGGTTAATAGAAAGTCGATCCTAGGTACAATCACAAGAGATGATGCTCGACGAGTCCCTAGAGCGAACAGAACCCACTGGACTACTCTTGCACGCAACAGAGAAAAATGGAAGATGGCACCCACTCGAGTCACTCGACGATCAACGGGACTACGGGTGATGCAGGTGCTGTGTTCTTATGAACTGCTCTTTCTTTAGCCGACGCGAGGTTGGTATAGGTTATAGTAGGATATGTATGCAGTTATATGTAGCTAAATCAATGGCCTATCCGAACGATTTCACAGGCATACATGCACTCATTACGGAACGGAAGAGCTGATGCGGCATTTGATAAGCGTTTCCTTCTCGAATGCTTGAATCAACAAGCTTTCTGGAATTGAATGCTCGGTTTCAACTGCTATTTTTAGAATGAATATGTCAGCTCAGAACTAATTCTGATAATCGAAGTAAGAACCACTAGACCAAAACCACACGTTTTTGCAAATTATGGATATGTAGAAGCCAATAATTTGTTCAAGGCAGTCTCGGTTTTGGCCTTGTACCTGATGCATTTCTAGCAAAGGAAGTTATTGAGATGCGTGAAGAAGTGGTGGTTCGTAAACTCAGTTCGTTCAACCTTAGTAGCGTCGGTAGCGCGATTAGTGACGCGGGTTATCGTGGAGGGGGATTGGTGCCCTCTTGTTAACTAGGTCGAGAGTATAGTCGTTGAAGTTTACCATGCATTTCGACGATTTGCTGGACCACGAGCTGTAATGGATTAAACCAGCAGCAAACCACTAGGCGGTCTCTACGATTTCCTTCTTTTTTTTTGGTAAAATTTGGACTTAGGAAGTCCTTTGGGACTTCGTAGCGGTGCAACCACTCAACCGATCGTCGCCGGTTACCATAGGGGATCTACTTCTCGCTGTAAATCATAATACTATCGGGAAATAATTCGTCCTGGTTACACAGAAGAAGCGGGGACGATACCTCTAAACCACGATTTCTTTGATTGTAATCAAATTCATTCGGGTATCGATTTTTTGAGCTTCTTCGACTTTCTAATTATCGTAAGGTGGTCTGAAAGGCACTGAGTTCTTCTACAAATTATTGACAGTTTTACTTCCATTTGCTTTCACTGAATCCTTCAATTCATTTCCGTCACTAGCAGAAGTACTATCACGACATCCCTCCATTACTGAAGTCGAATTTGTCAAATTATCAACTGAAATTGCTATGCGGTCACATGAACATGAAAGACTAAACGCTTAGTAATTTCCGTTTGATTTTTTGTACGGCGTTCATAAAGTGACAATATGTCACCTTAAGGTGTAGCATAGTGGCTAGAGTTGCTCTACAATATGAAAGTGGTGCTCGGTTTGAGCATTGAGAATGCCAAGGTAATGTTCAACACCGAACGCTTTATCTTCTACCATATGTATCACTTCAGCACATTTTTAAAAAAAGTGTTCAGGGTCCTACTTATAAAAGACACTTATCATAAGCAGTCATAGCTGTGGGTGTTGGGTTACAAGGTGTTAAACAACTAGCATTGCGAACTCATGAAACTAAAACTCTTCCAGGATCTACCACTATCCTGGTATCAAACTAGCCGTAAATTGGCAAATCTCCTTTTGATCCACAAGGGAGGCGACCGCCTGTGGTGGTGTGACGACCCACGGCAGACTTTGGCTAGGCTGAATTCTGGATTCTAAGGAAACACAGTGGCTAAGCCAGCAAAACTCTGAGAAATTGAAAATTGTGCTGGGACTCGCAGAAGCGGTGAAGACGGGCCAGCCAGGTATCTAAGTAAGTGAAACTTTTCAGATGTATTTTTTTCTATTCATAATCAGGAATGAGAAATAATTCTATGTTATAGATAGTGCAAATTGTTATAACTCATACTCAGAAACAGCAACTAATTCCATTTAATAAATACTTTATATTGTTAACGGTCAATAAAAACGATTGAGTTAGTGATGTGACCGCAAGAGTATACGATGGAAAGACGAACTGAAATCTGGACGACGGTACATGAGAATGGATGCAAGTGCTCTTAATAAATTCCACGTACACGAAGATTGAACGAAATTCAGGCATCCCATCCATCCCATCCTTACCTAGTAGCTTCGAATGTACTTCTTCTGCGATGTCGTTCTAATCGCAGTGCTAAAAAAAACCTTGACACATCACTTTTCACAGAGCTCGATAAAAATAGTTAAGTAAGCTCTGCGAGAACACTATGCACTTGGACTGACCTTCCTACGAATCGTGCGGACCTAATCCAACTGGACTAACACTTTATTGGTTGTCTTTTTACGACTTGAAGCCCCAAAAAACACGCGCACGCCAATTTCATCATCATCACCGCGGGCTTTGAAAGGCAGCTGTGGAAAATTTTTCCGTGCTTCCACTAAACCTTTCACTGAGGCGATGCTTAATAATTTTCTAGTCAAAACAACTTTCGTGGAATATGAAACGTCGTTGTACATCATACTTCGACACACAACACTAGCATGCAAATGAGATGACAGTAATAAGGGGCACTAATATATTAGTCAATACACTTTGACAAAGAATTTCGTAACCCAATATATTTTTATGGAAACATACTCCTCGACACAGTGCACTATTTACTACACTACGCCATCTACTGATACCATCTATAATTACACGGCTAAAAGAAAGGCAAAACGAAGGACTCGCGTGGTGTGGTGGTGAACGCGTTAGCCTCCGGAAAGGGTAATATCGCGTTCGTTCCCCACTTCAGACACCAGCGATCCGGAGTTTTGCAAATATCTCAGCACTACTATGGTAATATTTCACATGATACCCTGCCATTAAATAGGAATAGGAAGCAAACAAAAAGTGACGACTTTTTACCGGTTTTTTTTTATTCTACTGGACCCGTCTTTCACACCAACTGCTCAAATTTGAGCACATCTTGCATCCGATTCATTTCCTCCTATACGTCATTCACGAAAGCCTCCGAACATTTTCCGTGGGTGTTCGACCGCTTCCTAAGGAATGTCTTCTTCCTCATGAATGTCGTGGAATCGCAGTCGATTCTCCCTCCTTAGCCCTGACATCACCAATTCCCTGACCCATGGTGGATAAAAGGTTTTCTCAGCCTGGTGAGGGCTTGAATATGAAGGATAAAGTTCTCGGCGTTGATCACTCCCTGAGGGATGCACCATACATTCGACTTCATTAAGCACCGTTGGAGGTGATTGAATGCATATCTAGCTTTTACAATGACTCGCGGTGGCCTACCGATGTATCGAGCCAGTGCTACTATCCTCCCAGACAAGTCCGGTACCAATCTGCCAACCCCGGAGTGATGGAAGGCTTGGTGAGTCAACGACGGGCGCGGTAATCGATTCCACGTGTGTCGCAATGGCGCCTCCAACCACTGCGCCACACGCGCTCATAATATCGTATACGAGCCAAACCATTTGAAAAGTTCCAATGCAATATCCAATCAGTAAGCAGTACCTCCTAAAGAAAGCCAGCTTATACCACGCATTGGAACAGCTCTGCTTGGCTTTTCCTTACCGATATCTAAAGTTAGCGCAGAATGTAATCAATATATTAAAAATATTTAAAGGTGACACCCTAGATGAAAAAATCTTAACAAAACCTTTATTGCAGAGAATCTATTGTACTCCAATTCTTCATCAACCTATTTCATCACATCACACATCATCACATTTGAGAAGGAACATTTCCTAACATCAAGGCTATATAGCACATATATCTATATGCAAAAGATTAACAAGATGAGAAATTCTTCGAATGAACAACTCTTACAGAAACAATAATCAGCCAAATGAGATCACTGAATAGCTTTTCCAAATAAACTTTTAGAATAATTACTATTGGGAGGTCTAAGTGAAAAACTTGAAACTCGTAATGACTCGAAACTCTGACAACTACTCTGCACTTTGAGCAGAATGAAACCACTTTACAATTGCAGATAGTTTACCAATATTCTCTACACCGCATAACAATAACGCTATGCAGGTGTACACTTACTGCTCTATTTCCCAAAACTTCAAATTGAGGTGTAATTCTTTTTCTTTCAAGAGCGATATAAGTAATGAATAGCCAGACTCCCATAAAAAGTGAGCTGAAGATAAAAGACAACTAACAACAAAACGGCAGTTATGACGAGGAACGAGAAACGTTTGGGGTCTATAAAATACAATACAGTTTTGTAAGTAACGAGAAGGAGTAATAGAGTAGGTTAAGATGAATTTAAAAGCTCTTAAGAAAAAAAAAAGAAGGTAAGTAAGAACTAATTGGTAGTTAAGACCAATTTTTATTACAGTGCAAGAAAAACTTAACCGCAGTAATATAAGCCTTTTGTAGTTTTTTAATTCCATTTCCTTCATCAGAGTAAATGGATTTCGCGACCGGAACACTTAGGGCAACAGGATATTGTGAAATTGGAATAACTGGGGCCTTTCCGTCGAATTCGTTTTTCGCAAGGTGATCGAGTAAGGAATTTATGCAGATCCAGGTTAGCAAAATACTGTGCTTCAGTATTCGTGATTGAGGTAGCAGAACTTAAATTAACGAATAAAAGAGAAGTTAAATAAATATACAACAGACACAGAATTCTGCTTTATTGTTTCTTTTTCTTAAGCAATTCATGAATAATGAGACAACTCCGCGTTCTTTTTAATCATTGAAGCAGGGTGTAAATTCAGTGCTCGTAGATGGAAGAGATTTTTACACCAACGCCTAAATCTCTTCTTTTCCTTGTATCACATAGTCTTCCTTTCCATATCTCGTTGTCTTTTGTTCACCTAGATTAACCTATTCCAACCTTTCATTCAACATCATCTGATTACCTTCACTCTTTCTACTTCTTTCTCTTATTCTCTTCTGTTATCTTACTTCTACAAAGGTACCGGTTGATCCTCGTTCACTTTTGTCATATTCTCAAACTGCACTTATTTCTATCGATTCCACTCCTTGCCAATCTTCTTCCTTTTTCCTTCTTATGTTCCCTATTTTTCTCTGCATATCCATTCTCAGTCTCCTCTGTGCACCTTTTCTCTTATCTTCTTGTTCCACTTTCCAACTCTCTGTATCCGCTCTTCTTATCACTAATGCTTTTATTGCGACCACTTAATAAAACCGGTGAGTGAACACGGCATGGTTAAGCTCGTAAAACAAAAACGCGTCGGGTAGATTGCCGTTTAGTAGCGTCAAATAACACATTGCAATTCATCATAGCTAAAATCCACAAGTAGATACAATTAAAATAAAACCCTGATCATAAAGCAACGTTTTAAAGACATCTAATCACAATTTTGTGGCACATCTAGTCGTTAACGCAAATGAGAGCAGTCAAATTCGTTAATAACAGTTGAGGCGGCAGCAGCTAATGAATACGACGTATTAACAAACTTTTCCAAGAATTTTATTGCAAGTATTCGCAGGAATAACGGAAACTAGCGCTTTTCATTTAACCATCTTTTTTTGGAGAATCATACTGAAACGCACCATATGTCCCTCACTACCCGCTGTGCATCTCGAAGCATTCCAATTAGTACTTCCATTCGGAAAGTTAGTTCATCAGTACGAATAGATTGCGCAAGAAATTTACATCTCCACACATCCCGATCAATTTGCAACTGCTCGATTTGTTCACTCTCAAATATGAGCTGAAAGCTCCCATCAGTAATTGCAAAAATTAGAATAGTGATGTTATCAAAAAATCCAGAAATATAAGGGATGTCAATAATACATCGCGAGCTCTCCTTGTTTAAGCTAACGCGAAATTGGTACCTTAATTTTTCAATATGGCCGACATTTCGGCGACTTCGTTTCTCCCGAGCCTAGACGTACTATACGACACCATTAACATAATTGAAATTTCCTATTTAAATGAAAATCTTATTCAAGAGCCACTCCAAAAATCTACCTATTAAAGAAAGGTCACCGTTTAACTCCTTAGATGGAGTAAGATTACCTCCGTGTTTTCACCCATTACGAGCACTGAATATTTTTCAGATAAGAACAATCTGAGCTAACTCGCCGCATCAACTGTCACAATCGGGCACTCTCTCATTTTCTACTCATGTTTAGATTTTCCAAATTTATCCGAAAAATCTAAGGTTTTGCGCACCGATGTTTTTAATTCCTGCCCCAGGACTGTGAGCGACACCTCAAAACCGTCACCGTTGTGCTTCTGTGCCTTATGTATACCTAGAGCACTTGGTCGAGTTTTCCACATTCCATTTAGGCATCTCTTATGCCGACACAACTGTTTCTACGGTCTACCCATTTCTCCACTGTGTCCATTACGGAAAGTTTTCTTAGGGATCAGGTATACTGCGCCTGAACTCATGCAGACTCCTCTACCGTTAAGACAAGTGACGCAATCCTCTGTTTTACAAAGCCGGTCCTATAGGCGGTTCCAAAGCAATTGCTGACTTAAAGTGCTAGGTGAAATTTCTATAAATGCCACAGAGTTCTCCAGACCACTGTTTTCTATGCAACGCTTAATAGCGGTGGCTACTTCGTTTGATATGAAGAGCAGCTTCGAAGGGATCTTCCTATTTGGGTTTAGGATAGTATTACTTTCGTTATAGGGTCTAGCACTCTTTTTGACACGACCTCAATGCCTCAATGGCCCTCGTTTTGTGCCAACTTAGAAACAAAAGCAGTGGCGAGGTTTGACACCAATCGCTGGGCTATTGCCAATCTTCTAACTTGCGCGCAATATCTCTCGAGTTTACCAACTCTCGAACCTTGCGCGTAGCACGTTTTTATCCATGTGCTATGCTTGAGCTGAACTTTTCCCATTGGTAGCAACTAAGCAACTTCATTCGGAAATAAGTGGAATGTTGAGCCAACTTGGCTTTCAAGCGGTTGTTGTTTGAAGCACGTTTGTGGAAAATGAGTGGTGGTAATGCAGCTCTTTGTTTTACCACACCCGACCTTTCTAGTTTGGCCTTATAACGGACTTGAACTCGAGCTTCATGTGAACTGCATGCGATACTACGCAAGGTTGTTTAAGAAAAGGACTATGCAGGCGAAATGCTTCGACACAATTCTAACAGTGATTGCGCACTCTTTGCAACGTTCATGCTTCCTAATACGTAACTCTTCGCGTTTTGGGGCATGTTGTACCTCAAATTTCTTACTAAAGTCGTTAAAAGCGTTTATGCCTTAGTACGGTAGATTTCTGCACAAGCTATAAATTTTCGAATTTTCTTTGTAACTCATTGTTTATACTATACCGAATATTCCTACAAATAGACATGTGCCCAGCTATTCTCCTCAAGAGATTGTTCTCCAAATACTATACGACTATAATAAATGGAAAACGAATAAAAATGCAGTATATGAATGTAAAACAATAATAAAAAAGATAATAATGTATTATGACAAAATAATAAGCACAATATGACATATAAATATAAGCGACTTAGCGGAGAATTTCTGTTAGACACTGAACATCCTAATCCAATTGATGTATGTTGCCGTAAGAAGCACACAAAACGAAATGTTTGCTCAAAGAAAAAAAAATGTGTAACAAAAGAATACCATTGTACTCCGTAATTAAGAATAATCTCCGGACGAGAAAAACGGCTGAATGCATATCTATTTGTAAGAGTATTCGGCACATTATGAAGAATAAGATACGAAGAAAATTCGAAAATCTATTGCATGTGCAACAATCAACCTTGCTAAGACACAAAAACACCGTTTTTAATGAGTTTAGTAGGAAATTTGAATTACAATACGCCGCCAAAAACCACGAGTGTTAGGAGGTATGGTCCTTTCGGAGATCGCGCAATAACTGCTAGTATTGGGTCTAAGTATTGGTTTTCACCCACACTGTTCATTTCTGAGACAACCCTGTCCAGTATCGCATGCAGGTCACATGAAGTTCAAAACCAACTCCGTTATAAGACTAAATTAGACAGGTGAGACATGGAACAACAAAGAGGGACATTACCACCGCACCTCTCCCACGAACGTTCTTTAAACAACATCAACGTGATGTCGAAGTGGATTCAACTTTCCGTTTATTAGGTTGCTCAAAAGTAAATGAACGTTTTAAAATATTTATTGCTTTGTGTTTTTACAAATTAAATACTCTTTGCAGCTTGCATTTATGACATATCATTAAAAAGCTGGTTTTATGCTCTTCCTAACCATGTCTTTATATTCTGTCAGATGTTAAATTTTTTTTAACCAATTTTAAGCTTTGTAATTTTGGATGTCAGAAACGAATTTTCGTCAAACTTTCATCTATGAGTTCAAACTCGGTCGTTGTGCAGCTGAAAAGGCTCGAAACATTATGAAGTTTGGGATGAAGGTAGTGTTGGTGAATCAACAGTGCGAGCATGATTCCGGAAATTCCGATCTGGTGATTTCGACCTCGAAGATATGGAAGGCCGCGGACGTCCCAATGAACTTGTCGACGACGAATTGGAACCACTAACGGAAGCAAACACGCGAACGTTCGAGAGCTTGCAGAACAGCTTGGCGTAAGCAGAGGAACAATTTTCGCTCAAGTGATTTTCTTCGTATTTTTGTTGAGCAAACGCGAGGTGTTACTATTCTTTGTTCACGATTAAGCTGACGTTTCGGCGGATTTCGCCTTCTTCAGAGCCTGGAAAGGTCAAGTTGATAGCAACTCACTCGGCCAGACGCCTCCATAACCAAACAAAGAAACTCCAAACCAAGATTTCAATCACTTTGAACACAGCTTTGCACACTCACCGCTTTCTATGAGGTTTCCACTAAGTATGTCACGTAGAGACCAACCGCACAGAAATCACGTGGAAGTATAATGTGCCCCTCACATCAGAAAAGCAGTTTTATATACTGCCCTATATCACGCGTGATAATGAGGCATTCTTCCCTGCGGTTCATTTTCGGATTTCTGGAATTAATCCAGAATGCTTCGAGAGTTTTTCGGGCCTGTGTTCTTGATTCGCGTGCGAGGATCGTGACACATACTTCGAAGTCGTCCCCGTT